AGGTTGAGTTTGTCGGCCATGATAATGGACGTTGTCTTCCGATGGTAAAGTGTCATCTTTGCCTTGATCAGTGTGTTCCTTGTTTGCTGCAGTCTCACCTTTGTCTGTGCTGGGATTGATACCCGCTCTTTGTCAGGTACAAATCCCTCAACTCAAATAATCTAGATTCAAAGGAAGTGTTGACTAACTCGAGAATAGAACAATGTATACACAATGGTTGGTCCTGAGTTAGTCTCGATTGTGATCCATGTATGAGAGATTATCGATATGGTGCTGGTTATGTAATATTTGATTCATCCGTGTGTGTGGTATTCTCTCTATGCTTATGTTATTCACATTGTAAACTCTGGTTGTTGCAATCGAGACTACCTGAGAACTGAACCCTACAGAATACATTTATTGCTGCAGTGACGATCCACAGACGCTAACCTGATTATATATTGATGTTATTCTAATGATCTCTCCAACTTTTCAAAGATATCGCACTCATAGTAAAAACAGCCTGCTACAGATAGAATACAGTATTGCTATTGGAGTAGTTTCTTGTGTTACATGTCTGCATAATTTTGAAGAGGTTTTAGGCATTCACCAAAGCTTTCTTTTTGGCAAGATGGGGCTACTAAGGGTAAGATTTCCGTATCAGCAAGGCTCAATTCTCGCTGTCATGCTTTTTGCTGTGAGATGCTATGAACAATGTCAAATAGAGGATTAGTTCAGCTGTACGATGGGCGAGACATCTACGTCGTGCTATTGTGATGTTACATAAAACGTAGCATATTAGCGCATAATACACTTTTTTCCTATAGTGTGCAGCAAAGCAACTCCTCGTTTATGTTACTTTCTTATAGTCCATCCTTCTTGTCTCGACCTCCTTGTCTTGCATACATCTCTTGCTTCTCATCCTTCGACATGATCGTGTCTTATCTGGCAACGTGGACTGCCGAACTAGTATACTACTCTCAGCCCCACACACACTCACTCACGCACAGGCCTTTACTTTACGTTAACGTTTTAGTGCTCGCCAAATGTACACACCGTCAATGCACTTTATGCCTTGGCTATAATAACGGCTGTTTATAAACAAGATTGTGCCGATGCTGCGAGAACAGTTTTGCGAGCATCAAGTTGCCGCATCATCTTGCCGATGAAGGTATACTGAATTTCATCTTGGACCGCCATACCGGCGAGCACGAACTAGCAAGAGCATATTAACAAGGTACGACTTCGTAACCAGCTTGAGCTAATAAGAGCACATGAATTCATCGTTTTCTTTCCACCTTTGTTAATTTGAATACAAAATTTGCATCCATGGATCCCGCATTATCAATGCTCTCTTCTAACTCTCTTTTCTTGCTCTTTTTGTCTGTTCTAAATTAACTTTTATTTGGGTCTTTTTGGCGGATTTTATCTTAGCTGTATTGCAAATGGTCTTTTCTACCGATCGAGAGACAGCTTTATTCTTTTTGTGCTTGCATTCGATGGTGATGCACTGAATCAAGCTCCAGGTTTCCGTCAGGCGGTTCATTATACGTGGCGTAAAGTCCATTCATTATGCTGCGCTTTTTTCTTTCTCTTTCTGATATGTCTCTTTTTTTCTCTCCTTCCTGTTCTTCGGCCATTCACGAACTCAACACCCGTACCTCGCAACAATGCATAAGTCAGCCTCAGCTTTGTGCAGGCTAAAAAAAACCTAGAAAACTGTTGCGAAAAGTTTAGTTTTGCAATTATCGGGGCTTCATATAGGCTTCGTTACTATTAGGTAGCAGACGAGTTATTTTTGCTATGACACCAGGGAGAGAAACCATGCACCAACTTTTTTCTTGCACAAACACTTACAGACCACAGTAGCTCACATGTGAATCGAGTGCAAAGTTATTCAAATGCATCTCATTTGTTTTATTAGCTCAAGCGCTGGGGCACTATAAAAAATTGTGATAAGGAAGGCTCTTACTCATAATGCGACAGGAAGCATGACGTTTCATAGCTGTATATATGTCAGTAAAAGTATGTACATCTACCTATGTACTGTGCTCACATATCAGCTACTGATGTTCGTCTCGATTCAAATGAGCATCTGAGCTCATCACGCTCGATGGGCACGTAAAAGAATGCTTTTCGTACACTGACCAGGGCTGTGGCAAGCTTAATATTTAGATTATCCTGCCATAGAGTGGCTTGCCTGTATTTTTATTTTCTCCAATAAATATACATATTCTGCGGGTGGCGTCGCCAAAAATGTTGCGGTAATAGCACTTGCTGTTAGCTGATTTCATGCGACAATGATGTGTTAGCGGTGTCAAGTCTAATGATCACCGTGACAGTTCTTATCGACTGCGTGCTACGGCACTGCGTTGCGAAACAAAGGGAGGATGAGAGTCATGCGTAGACCTCATCGTCCTTCTTTTTAACAAGGTCTTAGCACCTCGCCTTTTCCCCTTTTCCCTTGCATGACAATAATCTGCAGTCAATAATAATACCTCTTATTATGGTATCAATATATTGCACGAAGGAGCATGCGTACCGTGTAGTTTAGCAACTGTCTGTAAAAATGAACGATGAATAGCAAAGGAATGCAGCCGTACAAGAAACAAATTGAGTAAATACATGAAAAAGACTACCCCCTCGTCCCAAAGCTCGTTTCCGCCGTATTTGATAACACTCTGGGATATTCCGAAACGATTCATGCAGTTGGCCGTTGTGATCTCCGCAACGTGCACTGTGCAAGTGTTTTTTTGTGCAGCATGTGTAACGTACACGTGCTTTGACCTTTGTTGCGCTGGACGCTCTTCCTTCCTTTTCTCACTTTTTACTTTGTTCCCGTTTCTCACTGCCCATCAAACCCCTTTACAAGCATGAAAGTTGTCGCAAAAACACCCACCAACAACAAGCACAGCGTCACGACCAAGGTGAAAACGGACGACAGCGGACGCGTGAGTAAGGTGACTGTTATTGTAAAACGTCACCGACACCCTCGCAACGACGGAAATAACAGTAGCGATACCGCTGAAAGTGAACAGCAGCAAGTGCAGCCCCAACAGCCACGCCAAAAGCCACTTATTCCGAGATCTGGCGTCAAGTCGACCGTGCGCTAGACGCCTACGAGGAAGAACGAGGCCGCCTGCTCGCAGCCAACGTTGAAGAAAACTCTGCTTCTTTCAACCTGGATGCGGAAATGGCAGGCCTCGCCGCGTTGCTCTAATTACTTTGTCTTTCCTCCCCTTCTGTATCCCCACCCCTCACATGTATAAAGCCCCAAATTTTCATTTCTGTTTATATAAATATATTCTTAAAGTAAACACTGAGTTGCAGAAACAAAAGGACGCTTTAGTTCATATTCTGCGCGTTTTTTCATGTCTGTGAGTAAAGTTAAGAAAGGTTTACCACTGGCTTCTTTAACTGTGGCAATAAAAGTTGTGGTTGTCATTACCGACTGTGGAATCTGTCAAAGTTACATCCCATTTGGAACAACAATTCGACGGTGGAGATCTCTCAGTTGACGATGCCCCTGTTGGGGCCGACACACAATTGCAACCAAACAATCTCTTTCACCCAGGCATTGGCGTTTTGGTCGCTGGCTGGGTTTTCGCAAGGAGTTCTGTGATTGATATTTTTCCCCGTCGGTACAGGATAAGCAGAACAGGTGAATAGGAATATTTTTGACTGCTGCGATAGCCTTGCATGATATAGTGTGGACGTTGTGTAACCGTATTGTCAAATAGAAGAAAGCATCGCGTTGCAAGGCGCAGGAACCAGGGCACATAGTATGTTGGGCGCCAGGTGTTTATAAAGCTGTTAGTGCTGCTGATGGGATGGCTCCGGTCCCTGTAATGACAACCTTCCACTTAGTCATCGTCCTTTATCTTCTTATGTTAAGCGATAGACCTATCACAATAGACTTGGGATTTCGTGACAAACCTATACCCACGTTAAAAAAGGAGTGTCTTCCTGGCCTAATATTATGAACACATATGCAGCATACTTTTATGCCCTGATTGCGATTCGCTGGTAGAAAAACACAACAGCTGTGGTATTGAATGGCTCCCATAGATGCTATGCATATGTGGACATCGAGCGGTCGTTTTTCGTATTGACTAGAATTTCAGCAATAAAACTGTCCACTTTCATTAACGAAGTTCAACAATCCGATAAATAGAGTTGACTAGATCCACGTACTGTATATGGAAGTGACTGAGAATATGCACCAGATACAACTGGATGCTATCATATTCAAGTATCTTGTATCAGATGATCTGCATTCGCTCCATGCAAAGGTGTGTTACGGGCAGAATGAACGAACATATTACAGTTATCCGTATATCTATAAACTCTGTGTAATAAGGTCGTTCTTTTAAGTGGATTGAGCCACCAAGGGGCCACGGACAGTGTAACTTTCAAAAGCAGTAATGCCTGTCCACGTATGCAATTTTACTAACAAGGAATATATGTGGTCAGATTCGTTTGAAAAATTCAAGTCACCGAAAAAGAGAATAGGTTTAAATGATGGGGGGAGGGGTCCGGCTCCGAAAGACTTTCCGTGTCATTACACAGCATGAATTGCTGTTTTAACTAACTTTAGACTGCCGATTCAAGGACGTCGAGATTTACAAAGAGTATCTTGTGATGGCAGAGATGCGGTACCGTTGTTTCCTCATATTTGTCGAGCTTGGTCGGGCGTCAATGCAAAGATGCGCTCAGATATGCGGTTCCAATAGATGTTGCATACATGTTGCATGCGAGTGCACTCAATCCGTACCGTTTTCAAGATGACAATGCTCGTATCAATGCTAGTCTACCCTTATTTTCTCTTTTTTTTTTATGCCATGGTAAAGAGCATGCTGTTTGAATCCCGAGAAGAGTAACTGCAAATGCTAATTAATCCTTCCATTTCTCTTATGCCGCGGCATCTTCGGCTATGATATAGATTTTTGCAGAATACTAACGAGATGCAAAGGAAGCCAAGAGAAACTGGAGAAAGTACTACTTGGGATGTGTCTTATATCATGAGTAATACGACGCTTGTACTCAGTGTTACAGGCTACACAATGTAAAATACCTCTTATTTATCGTGCTCTAGAGCTTCTTTACATATGGCTGGCCGTCTTTTTAACACATCAAGGTATATCTCTTTTATCTCCTACTATATCGTAGAGCGAGCAATACATTGGCTGGCGATTGGACCGCAGTTGCTCCTTTTATACCCTGGATGTCAGTTGGAGCTTACCATCGATCGTGCCGCTCTGGACCAACTAGCCAAGACACATTTATCATTAGCGAATAGTAAAAAAAGGTGGCGAAAACGTTGTTGCACAAGGGATCATGTAAGCCAGATACTTTCATTACAATGCTACGCCGAGACTCATCAAGAAATATACTATTTCAATCTTCCTCCGCTTTTCTGACGCTTCACTGTATTTCTCTATAATGCAGCCAAAAACAAATTATTATAATGACTGATTAGTCTCGATGAAGAAAGAAAACCCAAGTCTGAGCAAGTTCACGGAAAAGAGCGACTTATGTTATGTAATTTGGCAGTTGATTTTGATACGATCGATGATTTTAATTCTTTGGGAACGTGCTACTTTGGAAAAGGCAAAAACGCTTGATAAAGAACACCAGAATTTTCTTCAAAGTTCATATCATCATCAACGCTTTAGTCTCGGTCGCAGTATATCGGTTTTGTTGTTGTGTGACGCCAATAAAGGTATACTTCTAATGGCTCTTTTATGTTCATATAAACTGATCAATGTCATCAAAAGCACATATCCGTATAATCCCACACCGTTTCGTATAGATCTTCTAAAAGCTGCGGGGCGTGTTGAAAATTTGTCAATTAAGCACTGAAAGTCCTTTGCACGAACGAGGAGCTTGCCGTGTCTTTTTGCAACTGCTCCAAGGTAATCCCACAATTCCGCTTTTACAACTATCGAAATCAGTAAGTGATTTGTTTTGCTTAGTTCAGGTTAAAGACCAAGATGATCAGACAATTACCTTTCCTCATTCTTTAATACTGTTGTTAGGCATTGTCTGACACACGCATATGTTATAAAACCTTTCTACTCAGAGCTCATGGAAGCGCACCTGCAGGTACGTGTGCCGAGCCATAGCGATGTTCTTGTACCACCAAACTGTGTCTTAAAGTATGTAGCTAGGACAAACAATGCTTGACGTAAAGCTGGAAGCAAATATGAAAACAAGGTATCGTGGCCTTGGGTACAAATCGAGAGCTGCTGCACTTGTTATTGAGTCATTAACATTTATAATGCCAATTAGATTACTGCAAATGCATATCTTAGGCATATGGCAAAAAAGATTCCCGAAAAAAAACCGTTAGTAATGGCTGTTTTACCTTGTAAGTACCATTACCTTCCTGTAGTAATGTTTTATATTGCTAGCTTACCATAGCCGTCGCATTAGATCTATACTTTATTCAGACAAGTTGCTAACCATTAATGACAGTAGCAAAAAGGAAAATTATCTTGCTTAGGCATAGAGAGACATCAACCGGCTGATTGGTAATAACAGCCAGCTAATATATATGCGTGCGTGCAACGATGATTGCATCATTCCATATACTGACACTTACTTTATTTCCCATTGAATATATTTAGGTATGAACGTTTCTTAAGCTATCATGGCAATGATAAGGAAACAACGTTCCAGTGGATCGCATCTATCTGTCCTAAAAAACTATACTTTATGCTAATGCGTACAACGTCTCAGTTGATATGACTTCAAAGTCAATATTGGCATCTGGGACTACGGTAGAAGAAATAGATGCAAGTGTGGTTCTTTTTTTTCAGCACTATCTGCTGCTATAGCTATGACACGTTGCTGAAAAAGATCTTTGCAATGACGTTGGTATAGAATGGAATACGAGTGCATCAGAATATAGTAGACAGAATAAACACTACTGGATACCGATATATGGGTGAGCACGATACAAAATATTCTACTTGCGCTTTTTTTTTGCTCACCGTTTAATTCCTTATATATTACGATAGGAACTTTCACTTGGCAGGTACGATTACTTAATAACACTTAATAAAACTCATCGTCTCCTTCTTTTGCTAACACAACACTAATATTTCTATTAAATCGTCGATCAGATACAGTAAAAGTGTAAGTGATACTCTGGGATAGCAATGGTTTTATTTTTGTCTTTGGAATGAACAAAATGCTCACATTGTATTTAGATATCGAGGTAGAGTAGAACAGAAGACCGATCTGGTTGTTCTATACAATATTCACACTGATTCCCTTTGTACATATCTGGCTAAACTTGAAACTTTATATGACGCATGTATTACAGAGTGTGTCCGAGTAGGTCTATTATAATATTGGTAGGAAGGAATAACAACAAAGCGGTGGTTCTTGATAACGTTTGTCTAACTACATGCTACTTTTTGTCATCTCTATAGTAGAATTACATCCAAGCGAGATTCATACAGCGAAAAACAGTAAGTAAAAGCTGCTTGAAAGCAATAAATAGTTCATCATTAAATAGCCGATTCGTATCTGCATTAATGCCTTACATAATTGTATCATTTCCAAGGGCCGCTAAGAATATCAAGTTCAGTCATTCACATAAGCGTGGAGGTTGGGTATTTACATCAGATAAAGGAGGCTGGCTCCTTCCCGAAGCATTCCAACCGGCTAGTGGCTGGGCTACCACTTTAGTTGCTAATCAAGGCATCAGTAGCTCATCTAAGTCAAGCTCTAACGACAGTTACAGTCCTCAGAAAAGCCGTTTGAGGAAGAAGATTTATAACAACATGCAGAATTTGTTACTATAAAACCGTATAGAAGCTGCAAATAATGGCCCTTCAAACATCCAACACCCGTTACACAGATGTGTGTTATTCAGATTACATACAATTTCCTTTTACTGATATGAGTAGTCATTAGCAGAAAACATACTTGATTTTAGAAATTTGCATAATTTTGGTCTTTTCCGACTATTTTTTAAGCTGCTATTTCTACAATAACTGACTGATTATAGATGGAAGTATCAGAAACATTGTTATGCATCTCGAAGTTACAAAAGGTGTGGATGTGGACGACGGAAGGATATCATGTTTAGCTAAATCGTAATATTGACATATCTTCGATCTAACTGATTGAAAGATGAGATGAGTATATCAGACAGCATTGCTAATCCCGGTAGCGGATATTGCTCATATAGTAAATGTGTTGTAGGAAGATTCGTATTTTCTAAGTAGGAAGTGACCAAAGAAGAAGTTGACGGGACTTGATGGTCGGCCGGCAATAGAGCCTTCTTCTTCAAGTTGAAATCTTCCTTCATCATGTGCAATAGCTCTACAGGAAACGGCAGGTCTGCGCAATGGCCAAGTTTCTCGAGACAGTAAAGAACGTGGGTCATTAAACACAACGAGACTATTTGAAGCTGTATGTGAGTTTTCTTTATACTACCTCAGCACAACATTATTAAGTGACTTACACGATGGATTTTCAGATGAATCCAAACCCCAGTTCCATTTCAAAGAGTGAATCAGAACTTTACTTGAGTTGAGAGCAAGCTTCATTAGCTTTTCCCGCACCGCTAATATGACGTTCATGGAAATGGTATTTTTTGAAGAGGATGGGACAAATTGAGGCTGTAGGATCGATGATGCGAGAACGCCAGTCAGAAGGTGCAGGGCAATGATTGGATAGAGCTGTAATGGCGACAGCTCTTTCTCAACAAGTGTGTACACCATTGGGTCGAACGGGTCTTCACAGATACGTAGCTCAGCTGGAAGGTCCTTCCACCAATCAAGAACAATAGGCTCGTATTGTAAGATGTCCTCCAACATTAATTCGCAAGGCTTCCCATAGAATATTGCGTTAATTTGTCCCTATTACCATCAGTGATTTAGCAACCATACACATCATTTTGCTCCAAAAAAAACGAATTCAAATATGATACGGGCTTACCATGATCGTCGATATGTATGGGATACCGAGGAGGCCAAAAATGTAATTGTACAATTGAACGAATTGCTGTGTCTTTTCCGGCTCGTCTTCCAAAATGTCCAACTTGAGCATTCGGTCCGGTATTGTGAAATTGATCTTATTTTCAAAATACATATCGAATGCCCGGTTGCATGTTTCCAGATACATACGATGTCGTTGGAAAAGAGCGCGCTCTACACGATTCATGTTATGCTCTTCGACTTCCAGTTCCGCGCAGATAAGTAACGCCACTGCGACTAGTCGACGGGATTCTACATAGTTCAAAAGTGCATCTGTCAGATACGCTTCCACGAGACTCGTCACAATTACAATATCCAGTTTGCGCTCCGGGTCTTCATAAAGTTCGAACAGTAGGTCTATGAACTTGCTGTAGAATTCTTCAGCCATAAGTCGTCTTTGTATGGGCGTATATTTGAGTACATGGCGGATTGAGACCAGTGCATCGATGCATACAGCGAGGACAATAGGGCACTCCGTTGGATCATCAAGGCTGTGATAGTGATTGAGAAAAGTTGGCGTGTGCACGTGGCCCGTGAGGATATTGCAATGCTCCAGATAAAGTGGGATAATGTGGTCCATGATGGCTCGATGGTTGAATGGGATGGATGCACCTCCACAATATGCATTGCTGTTTTCGTCGTCATAGCCGATCATTGCAAATCGTTTTTTACGAGGCTTCGACAGCACATTGCGTTGGAGTACTGTTCCAAGACCGAGCGTGGTGCTGATCGACGTACTCTCAAAGCGTATGGGGTCTTGCTTAAATAATCCCTTGAAAGGCGAAAGATAACGAAGCGACGCTTGTGTAAACTGAATGAAATCTTCTACGGTTTCAATTCGTGTGTCGAGTTGAATGAGTCCGTTGACAATGCTGAGTTGCCATTGGGTCGACGCCTGTTGCTTCTGCTGCACTTGTTGAAACTGTTGTTCCTGGTTGTTTGGAAACAACAGTCGTACCACTTGGGTTTTCATTGAATCTAATTGCTGTAGCTGTGCGTCTAGCTGAATTAGGTCGGTGCACCAGCGTTGTGTTTCTTGGAATCCATCGAGCCCCATGAGTTCGGTACTTTCTTCGAGGTACTCATTATTGTCGTCCGATTGAAGGCATTCAATTTTGAGTCTAGAACAACGATCGCATACTCGATTGCTGCTACAGCTCCATACGCACTTTTTCCTTCGAAGCTGACAAACCTGAAAAGCTCATTATTAGTTTTAAATTTCTTTCTTTACGTGTCTCTTTCTCTGTTTTGCACCTTTGCAAGGTTTTGGTAGTTTTGTGTTACGCATCAACAGAGGTGAGGAACTTCGCTTATCGGATGCTCAATGAAATTATCACTGGACCACTCATGCAGTAAGAAACCCGAGGATCTAGGGTGTCCAATGTTCTTTGATCACTAGGTTCCAATATCTTTATTCATAGAGACCTTTGGCACTTCTCGATAGAGTGTAAAAAATGCATCTGCTATGTCTTTTAATCTATTTTTTTATAGTATTGAGCGATTTTTTTGTTAACACCTGAAACAATGCCTTGCATACAGTGTTGAACCTGTTGAAACCCAGAAAAGGTTGGTGTCTCCTTTGTCGTTCTTAACTGCTTTTTTTCCTGCAAAAAATATAATGAAAGAGATCCGCCCTGCGCCTGTCGACTTTTCCACGTTTTCCAGACCAAACAAAACTTTAAAACGAAATCACGGTGATTGTAAGTTATTTTACGTCATTCTTTAATAGAATGGGGAGTTCCATTAACACAGTACGAAAAAAAAGGTCTAAACTCTGATCTTGATAATGTCAGCACGACAATCGAATTCTCTTTCTTCTACCAACAACAACATAACTTCCGTAAACCACACAATGGATCGCTCGAATGCTCAGAGTCATATACCAAAAAACAACTCCACGCGCAACGATTCAGTACTATCCGGAACGTCGATCGAAAGTGCTATTACGATCGTCGATGAGCCATCTTCGCCGTCAATCGATGATCTTTTGGAAGATTTACAAAGCTTAAGTATACAAAACAAAAGCGATCCGGCGCCGGTAGAGAGTAGAACGCTTACGAAAGAGGTACAATGCTTATGTATAATGGTTTTTATATGTGAAAGTGGAAACTAGCGAGAGTGAGAAATCTAATAACCATGTTGAAAAAATATTGTAGTACCTTGCTGCGAAAAAGGCGGCATTAGAGAAAATACAGGTAAAAGAAGAGCTGTTTTCGCAAATACATAGTTTTTGTGGTGTGACTGATCTAGTATCCTTTGAATTGTGCTCATCGATCCTGTAGAGTCCTTTGGCAAAAAAATGGGATGATTTATATGAGAAAACCTCGCTTGCCAAAGCGCCATCTGTGAAACCACTCACTGATGATGAAGCTGCTTTGGTAACTAATGTATTTCTTGATACTGGCAAAACTGGTGTTAGCTGAAGGGATTTTGTTGACCGAACTTCTTGCTAGGTGGAAAATATTATGCGAAACACGAGCTCACGAGAACTTGCACAATTAAAGACCGCCATTGTCCAATATAGCGATATTCAAAAGTTAAGGCCTGGAGTGTGGCTAAACGACGAGGTAAAAGGCAGCTCATTGAGAAAAATAAGAAGATCAATAGATTTTTATGGTAGCAGCGAGCATACATGCTAATTTGGGAGATAAAAAGATTATCAACTTTTATATGGAACTCATTGCCGACCGTTCGCGATCAGAAGATGCCGCGGAAAAGAAGTTACCAAGTGTGCATTGCTACAACACATTCTTCTGTTCAACATTGCGAGATCAGGGATATGCAAAAGTGCGACGATGGACAAAAAGGGTAACTGTCAACTGAAAATCCTGCCATTCATGGGTTGCACATATTTACGGATAAAAACAGGTCGATGTTTTCGCCAAAGATCTGCTATTCGTGCCTATCAACTACGCGTATCATTGGACTTTGGGCATGATTGATATGAAGCACAAGAAAATAACCGTATACGACTCAATGGGTGGCTCTCATCGTGCTACATTGCAGGTACTTTTCCATACAGTGTTTAGATGTGATTGAATTCCTTCTAAAGCTTATATTCTCAAAGCTGTTACTAAATCAGCTTTTTGTTTAGTTATTACTGAAATATCTTGCTGATGAGCACCAGGATAAAAAGAAACAGTCATTAAATATGTCAGGATGGGAAACTGGCGAGGCACGAGGCATCCCACTGCAAGCCAACATGCACGACTGTGGTGTCTTTACGTGTACATTTGCGGAACGACTGTCAAGACAGAACCATATGGATTTTACTCAGGCTGACATGGAATTGATTCGGAAACGTATGGTTCTCAGCATCGCGAAGCAAGAAATTGTATGAGAAATGGTTAAATGTTGTAATTAAAAATATATATATATAAAGTACATGTAGAAAATCGTACATCATTATAAGCCAGTAACAACACTTTTTACAAATGTAAATTCATCCAAAGCAGCTTGGCCAAGGTCGTTTCCAATGCCCGACAATTTACGACCACCAAATGGGTTGTACGGAGGCATGATGTTGTAAGTGTTGACCCAGACATATCCTGTGCGCAACTTGGAAGCGACATGATGTGTCTGCCGTTGATTCTTTCCAAACACACCCGCAGCTAGACCATATGGCGACTTATTGGCGCGTTGAATTGCCGAATCAATGTCGTCAAAGGGTTCCAGGACACTCAGCACTGGACCAAAAATCTCCTCAGTCGCCAATGGTGCATCATCCGGTACGTCCGTGAATAGTGTCGCAGGAACAAAGAATCCACCCCCAATTGTTTGCTGCGTTGATGGGGCTGTGCCAACATGGGCTGGTTTTTGTTGTTGAAGGTAGTCTTGCACACGGTTGTATTGGTTTTGATCGATTAGAGGGCCGTAGACAGCCCGATCCATTTCCTGTATCACTGCGTCGACAAATGCATCGTGAATAGATCGTTCGATAAGCACGCGAGAAACGGCACAACAATTCTGTCCAGCGTTAGAGAAAGCTCCAAGGGCTACGTGTCCTGCTGCTTCTTGGATATCGGCGTCTTTGAGCACGATGACTGGATTTTTGCCACCGCATTCCAGGGTCAAAGGCGTGAGCCGTTGTGCCTGCTGCTGCATAATCGCTTGTCCTGCACGGGTGGATCCGGTGAAGCTTGCCTTGTCTACGCCGTCCATCACAGCTCGACCAACCTCGGCGTCTCCGGGAAGTACGCTAAGCACACCTGGAGGTAAAATATCCGTGGCCAAGTCAGCAAGTGCCAAAGCAGTCAATGGAGTCTGCGGTGCTGGTTTGAGCACGACACAATTGCCAGCGGCCAGCGCTGGTGATAGTTTCCATCCTGCGAGCATCAGTGGGTAATTGAACGAGACTACCAGTCCCACGACGCCATAAGGCTCGCGCAGTGTGATCGAGTGCAAGGTGTTGTCCACCATCGAGTGACCAAAAAGCTTGTCGGCATAGCCAGCAAAGTATCGCATACATTCGATCGTGTCGTTTATTTCGTATTCGGCATCCTCGCGTGGTTTGCCCGTTTGCAATCGTTCAAGATCAGTCATTGCATCCCGATTACGTGCAAGTGCATCGGCCCAGCCTAAAAGTGCATCGCGTCGTTCGCTACCGCTTGTCGATTGCCAACTTGCTTGTGCCTGGCGAGCACTGACTAGCGCTTCCTTCACGTGGTCGACTGTTGCTTCCGTGACGACGTAGTCACTTGTTGATTTGCCGGTGCTTGGATTGATGATGGGTCGTGCTCGTGAGATTGACGTTTGAAATTGCCCACGAATGTAGGGTCCTAAAGAATTCCATGCTTTTCGTCCTGACATGTCTGGTTTCTTAAATAGTGCGACTCTGAAAGCTCCGGAGAGACAAGCTTAATCATATATACCCAGCATAGTTGCTTGTTATTAAGACTATCACTATATGCTTCTGTCTCATATAATAATCTATTGCCAAGCAGAACATCTATTCCATTGCTGTGATAAGCACTTTTGCTATTTTGTGTCGTTGTTATATTGTATGTGCTAAAACAGTCTATGTTGTTGTAAAGCGATCCACCAAGAAGGCAGCATACGAAGCAGTTCCTCATGACTCGCAGCTTCTCGAGTAAGCCATTTACGAGCCTTGTCATCAGACTATACAAAATACAACGGCACCCCATGAAAAGAGGTCATTTGGACCTGGGACTGGTCGCGTATATCAGCAAGGCTCAAAATGAAAAAGATACAGCAGGACACATCCGTGCCGGACATCTCCGACGATATTAGTAATAAGCTTCACCAAAACTAATGAAGTTGGCTGGGTCATGATTGCTACATAGAGCACTTGATTGAAAACATTGTTAGTATCGATGCATCGCTCTTACTAGGATGTATAATGCGGAGCCATCGGCCTGATGTCCGACCAGGTTATATATTAGCAACTACCCCCTGACAGGATTAGTGTACATTTCCTCCTTGTGAACTTGAGTGATCAGAATATAAGAAAATAGGTAATTAGGGGGTTTCAAACTCCTGGCCAGCTGGCTAAATTTCGCGATAGACTGTCCCGAACACACATACGCGTCTTTTCTTTTATTGTCTAATCATCAGTGGCTACACCCAAATCTACTTCCACCTCTGAAACTACAATGATAAGAACCAGCTCCTGAATGCAACTGTATAAGAAAAAGAAACGCTAACAGTGGCAATTCGGCAACTGGCAGTAATTCCAATGCACCTGTTGCCCCCGCAGCCAAACGCAAGGTTCGCGTTGTCGTGAATAATCCCTCCAATGAGGCGTCCGATTCGCGCGATGTTTCTGGAACTGAAGAAGGGGACCAAGACCGTGAAGAAGAAGAAAAATGCGAAGGTGTAACAGAAGACGAAGGAGAGACGGGTGGTAATGCACAAGGCCAAGAAAAAACTACTGCTTACAAGCGCACAACCAAAGAGCACTACGAAGCAATGGTTGATAGGCTTGAGAAACCGGGGAATTTTGACCTATTGACAGGTAATGCTGCCAAAGGCAAGCCGGTTGGTGGTAAGAAGTTGAAGCCTACCACTGGACTTCTTCACGCGGGATATGTCAACAAACATGTCAACATCCCCAATCATCTTCAACCTTGGACTGGAAAATCGGCCAAAGGCCGGTTCTCAACTTTAAAAGACAAGTACAAGGCAGAAGAAAGAGCATCCAGAAAAGCCACCGGATATGATCTTGAGCCAAATCACATCAAGGCCGGACTAAAGACGATTGATGACCGCAAGGAGTACGAATGTCCTTGCTTTGCGCGGATGGATGCTTTGTTTGGCAAGAAGCATAACGTCAATCCGATCCTTGTGGGAGAGTTTGATGGTGTCACAGCATCTACCTTGGTACCTGAAACCTCGACAGTTCCAGGTACACCAGCTTTTGAACATGAAGAAAACGAGCCCGAACGAAGTGACAGACTGCAACCAGAGGATCTTGATCAAATGTTGCAGGACATGGATGATTTCGTCCGTGATACACCAAGTCCTGCCTCGAGTCTGACGCGCAGACAATTTCGTGCTCTCTCGACCTCTGCTCCTGCGCTTGCTCCTTCTCGAGAATCATCGCTTCCCGTGTCAGAAGAAGAAGATGATGAGCCCCCAAAGCGCACCAAGAAACGGGACTTTGCAGCCACCTACGCCGAAACGGAACGAGAGCATTTGAAGCTTGAAAAGAGGCGTCTCCAGTTGGAAAATGAGAAACTTTCAATGGAGAGAGCTCATTTGCAGGCTCGTCTCGATTTCGACTGCGACAAATTGAAGCTTACCACCAAAGCAAACTTCGTTCGCGACTTGGCTCTTGGTGGAATGGATAAAGATCAGATCCGTGATCTCTTGGATGAGTTTTTTCAGAACGAACTTTAATCAAATATAAAATTAATGCGCTACATCCGTATCCTATAAATGCTATCAATCTCTTTGACACGAAATGAAATCATTAATCTTTTCTCTCCATTGTGATGCTGTGTATTATCGTTCACTGATGGTTCGATGCGCTCCACTCTAGTATTATCGGCTGCTTGATCAGCAGGCCACTCGTCATTTTCTACAAGTAAAAAGTTGTGAAGACACACGGTGACACCAATAGCCCTTATCACCCTCGGCATGTCTCCGTTCTTTTTGACCTGAAAATGCACTCTTTTTAAGCATTGCTAACGGTTTTTCAGAATACCAAAGGTGTTTCCGATAACAACGCGCGCTGAAGCAATATCTTCATTAAACATTGTATTTCGTTCGTTTCCTTCGGTGTCCAGCTGTCTGTAAGGTGTGAGCAACCCCATGCTCAAAGCATATCCAGCATTACCAATCAAATATCATCATTGGTGAAATAGTCTTGCTCTCGAGCCACAACAGAAGTGTCCTTGAATGCCGCAGAGTCACTAACGGAACCGGGCCATCCTGTTTGAAGAAACCAAATGAATCGGCGATCATCACATATAGCCTGAACGTTCAGCGCTTAGGTGCACTTGCGAGTAAAATACGAGGATCATCAATAGCAGGCATTTGCAAAAAGATAGCATGCGTACCATCGACAAACCCAACAACATGGGGGAAGCCATGCAGCTCTTAGATTCGTGCTGACATGGCTCGACGCTTTTCTGTGTCTGGCCACTTGATAAATGTCGGTGCCATAGAGTCGATGGCCTCATGGATTCTGTCGTTGAACAAGGATATAGTTCCGGCAGCAACCCCCCATTCACGCGCAAGTTGGGCAACCGAGGCACCCGTACCACTGTGAGCTAAGTACTCTAGAGCAATAGCAAGCTGAATCCATACAGGCGTTTGTTGACCCGACCTCTCACGGAAAGTAGGTGTATCTGTCACCAATGCTTCTAACTTGCGTAATGACTTCTTGTTCATCCGAACAATCTTTTTGAACTCTTTGGTAGACCATTTGAAAAAAAAATTGCGGTTCTCCTGGAGCTTGGCAATACTTCGCGGAGGGTTCAAATGTTGGTGGCAAAGGATGCCAGCCTTGATCTTCGCCAGTTTTTAAAGGCGTTTACGTGCAGCTTTTTCTTCCTTTGAGTTCCAGCGGAAATGCACTTTACGCGCCATGCAGAACATTATTGCAGTGTCTACTTGAGAAAGAGTCCATTGGCGGTCGGATGTTTTAGGCATTAGGTGAGATTACAAATTGTCGAGACAAAAACTTCAAATGTGTGGATTTGGACAAGTTGACAGGAACGGCTCGATGCTCTATCCAGCACCGGATAGAATTGACCAGATAGCATTGACCCAGCTGGCAAAAAAAACTATCCCAGCTGGCGAAATTCGGTTCTATCTAGCGAAATTTGGCCAGCTGGCCAGGAGTTTGAAACCCCCTAAAATGAGTTGAAAGAAATTTAGGGATATATATTTGTCTATGTGCACTTCTGCGTTGAAGCAAATTGAAGGAGATTTTGAAGCATTGTACAGTTGAATATTATCTTTTCCTTTTTAAGGCCCTCTAACAGATAATATAAAGTTACTATTATATACGTTTCTATATAATTTTTTCTGTTTTCTTATAAAAATGAATATACATGTATGTATAGGCAGAACACCTAGTTCTTCTTTTGTCGTGGAATTACAAGGCATCGGATGCCCAGGTACGAGCAGAAGCTGTTGATGACAAGCACGGCCCAGCGCAAGTATGCCACCAACGCAAATGCAAAATATGCGCATATATAGTAGTACTCGGTTTCGGGGGTAAAGATTGGGGGACTGCATGTATAGATGACAGATCAGCAACCCTATGTTGTAAGAAGTAAAATAACTGTTTATACTCACATATCAAGGACGCTTGGCAAGTTGCTGATGATGGCACCACCAATAAGAGGAAGTAGCAGTACTGTGAACCGAGGGAATCGAGTCTTGAGGAGATGGGCTAGGATGATCTTGGTCGCCATACGACCAAATACAATACCTGTCGTCAGTGTGTAGAGAATGTAGTGGTGATGGGAGAGGATGAACGAGTACGGAGAGGCGACCCAGAAAAAGAACGCAGCGCAGTAGATGGTGATGGGGAAGTTTTCAACAATCATGGTCGACACAAAGGGCTTGTTGTTCTTGCGGCAGGCCTTGTACATGGCGAAAAAGCTGTTTTACAATGGTCATCAGTTCCCCTCTCCTAGCAGAGTCCCTATCATCATGCTTTCATTGATCCACCCAAACAAAACAACATACCACACGGGAACATGCGTGAATAAAAACATGAAAGCAATGAAGGAGATAATCACATGACACAAGGGCATCGTCGCAAGAACGGATGGCAGGGACCATGACTGCGGCACGACTTGACCAAGGGGAAGTTGCCACATGGATGGTCCTGAGAAAAGATAGAAGCAAACAAACCACATGTGCCTCCCAATATCAGAACCTCGTAGTTGCTTTTGCATCCCCTGTGCACGCAACTTGTGCAATTACCACTTTCTCAATCTACTGTTGCTGATCCACTCAACCTGAAAAAGGGACCTTACCATAGGTGCCTGAAAGGATAAACACAACACATGAGACAATAACACCCTCTGTAGGTGCATTGATATAGCCCAGGTACAAAGTGCCAGTATGGTACTCTTCGGCAGTCGACAAGTAGAATCCAAACATGGCAATACTGTATAAGATGACGCTTCCGAGGGAATGGCCCATACCCAGTGCAGCAGCTTGCAACAAGGCAGCAAACGAGGTGTTCAATGCATCACATCCATGATCAAACAGTTCGCCAAGCGGTGAAGAGGTACCCGTGCGTCTAGCTTGCTTACCGTCGACATTGTCAAAGGTACTATAGAGCCAGAGCGAGGCAGCGAATCTATCGAGTTGAAAAGAACGGTAAGTCTCTCTATACACCTGCTGATCTGAGTATGACGTTTTATCACTAAAATAGGGTGGGGACCGTGCTTGATGCATCTGTATTTTTTGATCTGTATAACGTTACCCGTAATATAACCATCGCGGTCCGCCCTCTGCATCCATTTCTGGGGCGAAAACAACGGTCAGGGCGACGCTAATGACCATAAAGCACAAGCCAATGAGTGTGATCAGGTTGGGTCTATTAGCAAGTGAGAAACAGCAACGTTAGCTTATATTACCTTCTGTCAAAGGTCGAATAGGCAAACGCGCCATAAGCATACGCAAGCACCCAGAGAAGAAGAATCAGCAGTATACTTGCGCAATCCACATGGGAAAGAGAGTAATGGTCCATTCCCAATAATGCTTAAGAAAGAATCGCGTGGTGAAGGACTTGTCGACAGCAGAGTACTTGTACAGCTTCAAGTTCTTGAGCTGTTCCTCGGGGAGGAACTCGCTTGAAAGTATATTTGCCATAACAATGGATTGTTCTTGCTAGGGGGAGACAGAAGGGAACAAAAGAGAAGAGAGGATCAGGGGAGAATGGTCTTGTTGCAAGGAGATATATTTATAGCTGTGTACGGATAAGCAGAAGGCTTTCTCTTGTCTCTATGTCACAAGGGCCCTTTTGTATCGTTGATGTGTGTGAAGTAGAAAGGGAGCAAAGCGCGTTTATGAAAATGGAAATAAGAGAGAGCGAGAATATTATGATGATGGTTGGGGGTTGGAGTATCAAAAAAAGCTCACGAAGAGAGAGCGAGCGGCCGGTGACACAAACAACCCCAGCTTTGGCTGCTTCTTTTCTTTCTTCACATGTGCCTCTTGCCATAGTGGATTAACGGTTGGCAGTTGTCTATAGAGTCACTTGTACCTGCAATGGAAGCGATGCCCCCGGTAACAAGAGCAGCAGCCATCAGTTGATCGCATGTGTCTGTTCTTACATATTTCCACATATGCTTTCTTGCTTATCAGCCTGTCTATCAGCTTGCTACTTAGCAGCCCTGCTTGGAAGTGAGTGGCTCATTTGAGCTTAGCTACTTGCACACTACCCTTTTCCATCATAGGCGACGACACCCACCACCACACATCTATCATTAAAGCAGGCTACCGGGACAACATCCGCTTGTATGTTTGTGGTTGTGCTCTAGATTGAGGAGTATGGCACTAACATGAGATATAGGGTTCGGGTGCCACACCTCGCCATCACCATCCCTTGCAAGCAGACAAGACGATACGTAGAGAAGGGAGTCATATTCGCAACGAGTGACACGTATATATCATCCTCATCATCACTATCATCGGCAAGAGAAAGAGAAAGGAGAGGGCTGGCTGGGCTACTGGGCTGTACATCAAGGCGAGTCCAAGTCTCGGCATTGCGCGAGTGATGGACAAGTAGCCCAGGTCGCACCATGTTTGTCTGGCTTGGCAGAAAGCAATAATAACAATAAGGGCTGTCTAAAAAAAGAGCGTGTATGATACCTTACAGCAATAATATTATCTGACTATCACCGTTCGGGTTACAGAGCCTGTTCCCTCCCGACCGTGTACTATAAAAATAACTGCTGCTACTTGGAGTGTGCTGCGTTGTGTTCGGCCTTTCTATATTCTTGCTTCTCTCCTCTTTCCGCACAACAAACAACTTTCCCGTTGTTCCCAAACGACGCCCGCAACACACAACGAAAACAAAGACTCTCGCCTCTGACAGTCTTTCCAACACTATCTGCCTCATCTCGGTCACCGATTGACGCGCTAGTGGGAGGTGCAGGCTTCATTATCGCCTTCAAGACTTTTAATGTCCATGCTCTTCAACCTGTGCTGATTCAATAAACACTTTTTCTGTTGTTGTATAAACCATACCACTTTCCTCTTTCTCTTTTTTTCTTCCCCTTCCATTACTCTCCACATTCCATTCTCCTCTTACTTTGTGTCTCTCCCTCAAACCTATTATCGTCCAAAGGAACCGTTTTTTGGACGCCGCCTTACTTTTTTTTTTCTCCACTTGGACTTTTGAGAACCAATAGCCAATACAGGCAACGCACATACACACAACACAACCTTTGGGAGGCAGCCTGAACAAAATAGAAAAAACCAAACAAACCCTTCTTCTTTTTCCCCTCCTCCATAATATATCCGTGCGCCCAATGTACCCCCACTACCATCATCAGCCTCTGGATAGTGGTAACAATGTAATGCCTGGATCAATGTACCATCAACCACCACCGCCGCGTCAACAATACCCACACCATCCTCATGCTCACCACCCAATGGCACCAGCAGCACAACAACAACAGCAACACCCGATTGTGCCCTCACAGGCAGCAGCCGTCGCTTCTGCTGCTGCCGCTGTTCGACATCCCGTCTATCAACAACAACAACAACAACAACAACCTCCACAACCTCCTCCACCAGAACCTTTACCGAGTGCAACAGACATACACCAGACATTGCAACTCACCATTCCGCAAATGGCGGAGTTTGCCTCGTCCATGGTATATCTAATGTGGCACGCTCGACGGCCATCGGTCATGGCCTTGCACAGCGCTTCCAAGATTGCGGATGGCTCCAATCATGCCGAACAAGATGCAATGCAAAGTAGGGAAACTGCAAACATTGCAAATGCTACGAGTAGCGCGTTTAAAAAGTTCTCTCGTCAGGTACTTGAGAAAGAGGGTGTGCTAAAGGTGGATGAGAGAGATAAGAGACTTGTCACTTGAGTTTCTGTGTCTTGTATTGCTAGTTACTGACAGTTATTACTGCTTTAGATTTTACATGCAACACAATTGTCAGAATCGGTGGTGATGCTTTCACTAAAGTACATTGCAATGTTATTACAAAAAAATCCCAACATCCAAGGTGCAGAAGGATCTGAATACCGTCTGTTTACAGTTGCGCTGATGCTAGGTAAATTGCGATTGATGACTTTTATTTGGGAGGTTTTGGGGGGATGATAATGGCAAAGCTAGGTGTTAAAGGAGTATAGGTTGATTTCTTTCTTGGGAATTTGATGGGTCCTGACTGTGTACATCTCTTCGTTTCTGTCCAGCCAACAAATTTCTCGACGATAATACATTTACCAACAAGACGTGGTCTGATGTTTCGGGAATGAAGGTCACTGACCTGAACATTATGGAACTCGAGTTTCTGGATGTCTTGAACTTTGGATTGTTTGTAGGCAAAGATGAGTTCGGAAGGTGGAAGGTGGCATTGGTCCACTTTAAGAACCAGCTGCAGTCGGTATATCAGGCACAGGAACAACAGCAACGACAAAAGATGATCGAAGCTTCCCTCAAAAGCGTTGGCCTTTCGATGTTGCAGCCACAAGACCAGCAACAGCAACAACAACAACAACAACAACAGCAGCAGCAGCAACAACAACAACAACAACAACAGCAACAGCAACAGGCTTGGACACTACCTCAGGATATGACACGGCAGCAGCAATCACAACAGCAACAACAGCAGCAGCAAGCAGCGGCAGCGCATCAGCAGTACCATCAGCAATATTTGTACCTGCTTTCCAAAGCACAACAACCTCAATTCCCTACACAACCGCTCAATCAGCCGCTTGTGCGAGTACCGCTGAGGATACCGGCACAACCGGTGTACATGAATGCTGGGCATTCGTCTTCCCAACCGTCGCAGACTGCACCACCGTCACAGCAACAGCCTGCTCAACCACCGATTACGCCTGTGTCCATGTATGATGATGCCTCGTCCATGATGAACTCAGCCATGCGCACGGCCGGCGGTAACAGCAGCGGTACCGTCAGCAGCGGTGCACCGGTGATAGTGACATCGTCAAACACACATCCTACCGATACCGGCAACCAGCGGCCGTCGTATCCACAACAAAGCATTGCACCGTCTTCCATCGATACCCAATTTCCGTCACACTACCCACCTCGCCAGACCCCGGCGCCATCCTCATCATCAGCAGCAGCAGCAGTATCATCGGGGGTGATACACCCCGTAGCTACCAGTAAGCCCTTGAACAGCAGGCCAATGTACGACAACTATGGGATGCCGGGCCCTGCCGCTCCTCCTCCTACGACTGTTGCTTCAACCCCGAGCGGGAATGACTCGCTCTATCCAAACTATGGATCTGCACTACCTGGGAGAGCGCCAACTCCTACTGCGACTTCTGGAGCACCTCCACCACAACAGCACCAGCCGCAACAACAAGGCTACCCTCCACCACAACCCACGTATCCACCTCCACCATCACAACAACAACAACAACAACAGAATCCGCCACCACCACCACCACCACAACAACAGACACCATCACTGCAACCTCAGCATCAGCCGCTTCCGCCACCTCAGGCGCAGCAACAGCCACCGCAGCATCAACCTTTAAGGCAACAAGCAGCCACGCCAGTGCAACAGCAGACCGATTACGCTGGAGGTGCTGGGAATGTTGCACCGTCTTCCATGTACTATTATGCCACGCCATCCGCAACACCAACGGCGGTGCACACAGATAACGCATATGGTTACAGCAACGGCTCTGCCTCACGACAAACGGTGCGTTCCTACTATCTCGAGTCGCCCGCACCGCCTGCTCAGCAAATGGCAACACCTAGCACCTCCGCTGCTGAGTACCATGGCAACTACGGCATGTCAGCCTCGGCGTCGCAGCCGGTGATAGCCGGTGACATGTACGCCAATAACGCCCAGCGCATGATGCGCACAGCGTCCAATCCGGCGTACCAGGTAAGCACCACACCTCTCATTTATAGGTGGCGATAATAAGTAGCTACTAGGTGTTTAACTTGACAATTTAGAATCCTGCCATGTATCCACCGCAATCATCCATAGCATCACAACAACAATCTGCTGTCGCATATTCTAAGCAATATCAGCATCCACGTCAAAAACAGCAACCATCCTCATCCTCATCATCATCATCATCGATGCAGCAACAATTAGCACCGCAATCGCAATCGCTGCCACCACCCCCACCACCACCACAAACTCATCAAATCGTTCCCGATGATTACAGCGGCCCTGTTCCTGAAGACCCAATGACAGCTGCCGAATCATACAGGACTACTCAACATAGACGATGATCATGCTTCATTTACCCCACCTCCCAACTTTTCTCTTTATAACTCTCCAACTTAGTCTTTTCTTTTTTTCCATTTTATATATATATACACAATCACAACACCCACACTCATATATATATTATTTCTTTTTTTCTTCCTTTTTTTTTTCACGCGTTTTTAAAAAAACATATTCTTATATATCTGCCCCCTCTTGCTTGTTTCAACTTTCCAAATAACCGCTTGTGCACATACCGGCCTGCTGTATTCCTCTTTAACTTTTTTTCTTTTTTTTTTACCCTTTTTTTTCTCTCTCGTTTTGTAAACCAAAGAAGAAAGACTAAGGGGCTTATCATTGGATGTCAATAAAAAGTGATTTGCCTTGACGATCAACTACTTTGCTAAAGTATTTTGTAAGTAATATGCCATCTTGTCCTTCTGTCAGAATCACGTTGTTGGCCGATCGGAAAAATGCAATGCCGTCTATGATAAGCCCGTTAGCTTGGGGTGCGTCGATGATGAGCAGGTTGGTCACATAGTCAAATACTTACCCTCCATGGCTTTCGACATGTCGATATAAATGTAGACTTGACTAGTCGACCGCATGCCACTAATCACACCCGATTCACCTGGTAATCCAGTGGCGCAGTGGATATGATGCCGCTCCATACGGCTAAGGCCCTGTTGTCGAATTTGTTGCCAGCTGTCCAACGACGTCCCGTGAACCACAACAGGCAGCGTATCTGTTATTCTTTCGAGCAATTCCTCTTGATCCACACCCTTGACAGTATGTCCTTGATTCGCCCGAATCATCCATACATTATCAATCTCGGCCATTGCGAATCGTTGCTTGTCATTTTTTTGCACAACGTGTTCAATTTGTTCTCGTGTATAGCTTTTGAATTTGGCTAAAGCAAGCTAGTATACTTTTGCGTTTAATATAAGTTTTTTTTTGAGTAACAAACAGCAAGGGGAAATTTTAGAGCCCCATCACTTACGATATCTGACAAAGGAATGTAACCATCAGGGCGCATCACAAGTTTATGCTTGGCAGCGCCATGACGCAGGATATACGAGAGAAGCTTGGACAGTTTGATTGTTTCGTGTGGATCCATCAGTTATGTATATGTGTAAAGAAGAACAAGATAGAGGCGCAGTCGCCAACAAATGCGGGGCTCTTATTTGAATGTAAGTTGTTGTTTAACATGAGAGTTGTGGTGAGTGTAATGTAAAAAAATGTACAGAAGTCTTTTTTAGGTGTGGCCGGTGAGAACGGGATAGAGAGAGGAGGGAGAGGAAATATACGACGGATGGGAAGGGGAAGTAATATATATGCTATGTAGAAGAAATACTATTAAAAGGGAGATGGGGGTTTTGAGCGAAAGAGGAAAAATTATAATGTAGTTTAGCTTAACCGCTGCAGCTAATGCAGGCATCTCGGTTATCAAGCGAGCATTGCATAGCAGCCAGCTTGTCTTCTGCGTCTTTTTGTGCGTTGGGATCATCGGCCTTATCCTTCAATGCAAGCTGGTCGACAGTGAACTGAATAGAGCGAGAAAAAAAAACTTAGTCTCTAAGCAAAAAGACATACTCAAGTATGATTTGATATATTCATACCTTGATAGCATCTACGGCAGGTCTTGACCGGAGGTAGTACATGCCAGTCTTTAAACCACGCTTCCAAGCGTAAAAGTGCATGGAGGAGAGTTTACCGTAGCTGGGTTCCGCTACAAATAAGTTGAGCGACTGTGACTGATCAATGAATGCAGCACGATCGGCAGCCATGTCAATGATAACACGCTGGGAGAGTTCCCATACGGTCTTGTAAAGCTTCTTTAAATCATCAGGAATCATAGGAACTAATACAAATTTCACTTAGTATGCAATCCAATAACACAACAGTACTGTATCAAGTCTATTGTCTCTATCGCCTGTACTTTACCTTGTTGAATACTGCCATTGTGGGCAATGATCATGTTCTTGACTTGCTCGTTCCACATATTACGATCAATCAAGTCCTTGAGCAAGTGGTGATTCTGAATTTGTATACAACGAAGGTGGAAAAGCTAAGTTAGCGATTGAAAAGTAAGAAAAGGCGAGGGGGACATCGATCAATCATAAAGGTCAACGTACCACTACTTGGAATTCACCGCTCATGACACGTCTTGTGTAAATATTGCTACACGATACAATTTTGATGAGCTTTACGCTTCTTCTTTCTGCGTGTGTATCAGAAGCAAGACATACCTGGTATAAGGCTCGAAACATTCGTTGTTACCGAGAATTTGACTTGTGCTAGCCGTTGGCATAGGGGCAACAAGCAAAGAGTTGCGAACGCCATGCTTGGCAATCTTTGCACGAAGGCCGTCCCAATCCAACCGGTCAGAGCCCTGAACGTCCCACATGTCGTGTTGCAAGACGCCCTTGCTGACAGGCGAGCCTTCGTACGTTTCGTATGCGCCAAGCTTTTCGGCAAGTTCAGAAGAAGCTTCCAGAGCAGCGTGATAGATGGTTTCAAAGATATCCTTGTTGAGCTGTCTTGCTTGGGGAGAGTCAAAGGGAAGACGAAGCAACAAAAAGGCGTCGGCCAAACCTTGGACACCGAGACCGATACTATAGCCATAAATGAGGTGTGATTTATCAGTATCATATCTATGGACATGGTTAACAGAGAGAAATACTTACGGACGATGTCTCATGTTACTCTTCTTGGCTTGAGGAACAGGGTAGTAGTTGACATCAATGACCTTGTTCAAGTTCTTGGTCACAATTTTGGTTACGGCATGTAGTTTTTCAAAATCGAATTCTGATGTTTCGGTGTTGACAAACTTGGGCAGTGCAAGCGATGACAAGTTGCAGACAGCAACTTCGTCAGGGGCCGAGTACTCGATGATTTCTAGAAATGACAGAGTGAGTTTACACAAGTGAGCATTACGCCGAGAGAAAATATAGCAAAAGCAGAGCGGTTTCTTACCAGTACACAAGTTGGAGCCCGTGATAGTACCCAAGTTTTTTTGGTTTGATTTCTCATTGCATGCATCTATCAACATTTATTTTTCAATGAGTCAGACTTAGTAGACCATAGCAGGATTCAAAAGTTGCATTTAATTTTCAGGAGGTATTACCTTTGTAAAGCATGTAGGGCATGCCCGTCTCAATCTGCGCGTCCAAGACAGCAAACCAAAGCTTTTGAGCACTGACAGTCTTTCTGGCTCTGCCTTCTTGCTCGTACTTGATATACAAACGTTCAAACTCTTCACCATAGCATTGATCAAGACCAGGGGCTTCATTAGGACAGAACAGCGACCAATCGCCGTTGCCCTCGACGCGCTTCATGAACAGATCAGGCACCCAGAGACCCAAGAATAGATCGCGCGCACGGACTTCTTCTTTGCCAGAGTTCTTGCGCAAATCCAAAAAGTCAAACACGTCAACGTGCCACGGTTCAAGATACATGGCAAAGCTTCCATTACGCTTGCCACCTCCCTGGGTCACGAAACGGGCCGTGTCGTTATACACGCGCAGCATGGGGACAATGCCATTCGACGTGCCATTCGTACCGGCAATGTACGATCCCGATGCGCGAATCTTTTGGAAACTGCAACCAACGCCGCCTGCAGACTTGGAGATAATGGCACATGTGGTCAACGTATCGTAGATACCTTCAATGCTGTCGTCTTGCATTTGGACCAGGTAGCAGCTGGAAAGCTGAGGGCGCGGTGTACCGGCGTTGAAGAGGGTAGGGCTGGCATGGGTAAAGTACTTGTTGGACATGTAGTAATATGTCTCGAGGGCAGCATCGATATCTTCATTGTGGATGCCCAACGATACGCGCATAATCATGTGCTGGGGACGCTCGACGATTCTACCTATAGACACCCAACAAGTGATAAATATCATATATCAGTGATTGTAAGATTAGTAAGCAGCACGAATTATCTTTTTCTCTAATTTTTTTGATGAACGAAAGCGAGAAAGTGTGCATGTATACGTAGAGGTAGGAGCAAGGTGGGTGGTGGGGGAGGGGAATATAAAGCATTACCATCGATCTTCATCAGATAGCTACGTTCCAAGGTCTTGAAGCCAAAGAAATTAAAGTCATAATCGCGTTCATAATCGATGGCAGCATCAATTCGTTCGGCGTGCTTTTGCGAAATGTCGTACAGTTCTTGCGAAACCAACGGGTTTTGGGTCTTGAGCTGGGGATGCTCATGATGATACAGCTTGTGGACAACCTTGCTGAAGTCAGTGTCGGTCTCCTTGTGCAAGTTGGACACGGCAATACGCGCAGCAAGGATAGCATAGTCAGGGTGCGTGGTGGTCATGTACGCAGCAGTTTCAGCAGCAAGGTTATCAAGTTCAACGGTGGTGATGCCCTGGTACATGCCTGTTACGACCTATAGAATGCAATTCCATTACATTAGAAGCTGACCTATGGATACGTAGTGGAAAGGACGGGAGGAAACAAAGGTGCATGTGTTCCCTTTCTTATATGTACCTTTTGCGCGATCTGAGGAGGGTCAATGAACTTGGAATCCAGATTGCTGCATAACTTGTTGATGCGCGATGTGATCTTGTCAAAGTGCACCTGCTCTTTGCGACCGTCTAGCACATAAAAAAGGTATGAGTATCGTCAATAAAGAAGGAGCAAGCAGGACACACCCGTCTTCCTAATATAGAAGCAGACAAGGAGAGAACGCGTTACCTCGTTTGAGGACAAACATTGGATAGGAATAACAGAGGGAGAGAAAGAAGATGTATGCGAGAGTATGAAAGGTCCTTGTACTTCTTTAACAGAACAAGAGGACAACCGGCACAAGGAAGGAAGAGGGCGACAAAGTGGTGTTAAAAGAAGAGAAAGAAAAAAAATTATTAGCGTCGCGCGCGGCTTCTTTAAAGGATGGCGGAGAAGACAGGGTTGCGACGCGACAAAAAGTAAAAAAAAAAACGAGGAAAGCGCGTTTAAGCCTCCGCATTTCATTTTCGCGTGCGTGTTGCCACGCGTATAAAGAAGCCCATCTCGTTTTACAGGGCCTCTTCTCTAATTGAATGAGGCATAGTGCTTCCAAATCAAGCTCTCTTCCCCGTCCTCATACTTTGAATAATCAAGTGTATTATCCTATTGATACAACCAGCATTATTTTATTGTTGTTGCTGTGGTCGCTGCTAGAGGCGGGGTCTAACCGTTTCCAAACCGTGTAACAGCATCCAACAGCGATCAATGTATATTTAAGCAGGAAATGGAGGAAAGGGGTTGACATCGTTGCCTTTTTTACGCGTCCTCTCGCTTCAATCCATCACCGTCTCGTCTTTAGTTCCAGCCATCCACATTTTCATGTGCGATGCCATTTTTGGAGGTGCATGTCACTCACACACAGACATATCGCATCACATAAACGCGGATTGCATCAGAGTTACGTGCACGCATTAGGATAATATAATAGACAATTGATATGGATAATCCAATCATGCATGAATCTTCATTCAACGTCATCTAAATGGTAATATTGTGCTTCTATCCTGTAATCAAGTATATTTAGGAATAAGATGATTTGTTTCACCAGAACTTGATGTGCAAAGGACTATGGCACACGTTCCAGCCTTTGTAAACGCCATCAGCCTCGAACAGATCGCCTACAGTAAAGGCAACGGTGATATGGGGCCAGAAAGCCTGTCATCATAATGGCGAATGATGATGGAAACAAAGTTAGTATAATTATATACACAACGCAGCATTTTATTCATTAAGCCTAATTTGTTACTCACGTGAGGATCAAAAAGTGCTGAATTACCGCCCTTGCTCACATAGAGTTTGAAAATGGCTTCTCGAATGGCTTCCAGGTTAGGAGCATCGACAATGATCTGGTAAACAATATACAATTCGTCTTCAACAGCAACCGACTCTTTGCCAAGACAGACCATATCAAACTTTGTCTTTTGGATCCTGTACTTCAGTGCAATCTCATTGATTTCATCAATGGTGACATTGGCTGTGGCCAAGATGCTGAACTCTGGTGGTGTGATTACGGTGATGTGCGACTCTCCTAGAAAAAGTCAGTGAGCAAAAAAAAAAACAGTATTAATACTTTCGTTTTTGCTGTCGTCAGCACAGTTTGGGATATATACCTCGAGTAAGCAAGGGCGCCTCTGTCGTGTTGAGTGCTTTCGCAACTGGATATACATATTGGTAATCGAGCTCCATGCCCAACCAATCTATGGTACAGTCATTGATACCGAGATGATAACGTTGGTTAGCAACTGGTATGACATTGCTTGTACACTGCGCTTACTCTCATGGGGCAAAAAGTCAATTTTTCTGCTATCGTAGACCTTTCTCGAAATGGACACTGGTTCACCTGCATAAATAATTACTTCTTGCATAAGTATCTCTTGCTTCCTAAGCCTTACCAGGGACTAACCCCCTGAGCAATATTTACCCTGCCATGGCACTCCCAACGGGGTTTTCCAAGGGATACGGACAGCACTGCTTTGCTTAAAATAGGACATGCAGCAGAGGCCACCTAATAACAAAGTACTAAGCGATACCATAATAGTGATAGTATATGCTGTTGGTAAGCGACGAAAGGTCGAAGAAGAAGAAGAAGAGAGGCGACGATAGACCGATAGGGATTGTTTCTGCAAGACGTTGCACTTTATAGTGTCGTCGCTAATCGTGATTGCTACTGGGTTCTTCTCAAGCATCGTAACCATCGTTACACGTTCTTTCTTCAGGAAGCACAAATAAGATATATCACGAAGGAAAACGTGCTAATGTAGTTGCTATATCTGAAGGGTACTCGGAGAAGAAAGAAACAAGTCGTTTGCACCGTCTCGCCCAACAAGATCGAGTTACAATGCCCACCTGCTCCTGCAGCATAAACTCCGATCTGATGCGTTCGTGTAACCCCACGCCGCTCTTGTTGTTTCTGACCTGACAACGTAAAGTATACACATGAAAGATCAAAGGCAACGTGCAATTAGCCAACCACTATTAGCAACAGAGATTTTGCCTACCATGCATGGATGTTGATGAAGTTAGCAGGAGCATGGTGGGCTGTATAGTATATCATCGGGCATCTATTTCTTTTAAATCGGACCCTTTGGCTTTTTTAAGCGTAAGCATTCTTTAAGCTAGTAATCTTGTCTTTATATTTCTGGTTATAACGTAAAGGCCTTACCTAAGAGCAACAACAGCTGTTTTACAAAAGATAATATAAGGGTAAAACTCGTTTGTCAAGTAAAAGGTCGTGAGCATCAAATATAAGTACATACAGCGAGACAAGCAATAATAATGTGTGCTTTATTGTCACGATTTCCTGCTATCATTAATCGTTGATGTACACTTTTGAAAGCTTAATGAATGTACCCCTTGTAGAGCAACCTTGCTACATGAATAACACCAATAGTAGTGCAGTTTAACTTTCTCAAGTCGATACAAGCTATATACGGTTGCTCTGTTGATCCCCCGTCAAGCTTCACCGAGTTTCTTCTTTATGTCAATTTTTACCACTTTCAGGTTGTTACCCGTGTAGTCTTCCTCCTTTTCCATAAGCTTGATACATCCTCTATAATTCTAGTTGGAAGCCCATGTACAACTCTACCAACAGGCTCGCACATCCAAAATCTCCAGTGCAAAAACTCTAAAATGCAAGAGTCTGCGTTTTAACATGAAGGAGAGCGAGTACTGCAGTTGTCTTTTGTCGCCGAGAAAAGCGCGTACGTTTGCGTGACAAATGATGCCCTAATGCATCAATGCTGAGAGAAGACTTTTTGCTGTTGCGACAATACTTGACTATGAAATGTCGATCAACCTCTTGATAATTGAAAATGAAAGAAATGCATGGTGGGCAGTTTGCATGAAAGAACTCAACCCCAGAAGAGGCAGGGAGAGCACAGACACTTGAACTCCGGCACAGGAAGGGATGAGCAAGTCGTTGTCACAAAGACCGACGATCTAATCTATCAATTTTCCATATAACACCTTTACTCGGTTTCAGCCTTAGAGCACACATATACGTCTTTCCCTTTTATTATGACAACCGTCCCAGAACCACCAACGACTGTTGGTGCTGCTCTTCCAGCAAATACGCCTCATGCCGTCTCTGTCATGTTCCCCACATGGCAAGACAATGTCTATTATGAGGAAGGCAACCCTATTGTTACTTCCAAAATGGAGTGCGGGTATCCGCGCTTCTTTGTTCATCCCTTCATTCAAAAGGTAGTTATTATATATAACAATAGCTCGACGGAAAAGAAATTCCCTTCAGTTGACACTGTTAGACAAGCAAGAGAAATACCATACGATTAAACGCGATATCTATACGTATAGCTATGCGACCGATTGACAAGCAAGTACGGTAAAGCGAGCGAATCGGGCATGCTCTTCCCCTCGCGCAAGATTGCCGAACGATGCCGCGAGTTCTTGAAACGGTACTTTTCGGAAACTGAAGCAGTACGCATTGTCGAACTTAAGCTCGGCCCTGTCGAAAAGTACCCAGCTATCCCAATCTTTTTGGTGCTGTTCCCCAAAGATGCTTTCAAAGTAGCCAAGCAGTTTTGGCAGCACAGTGGAGATATTTTATCGTCGCGTATGGCCGAACAATGTCTGCAAATTTTGGACGATCAGGAAAAGCAAGAACAGGAACAGGAGCAGAAACGACCAGCAGCAGGTGGTGGTAGTAAAGGCCGCTATGCTAATAAAAGAAAACCCTCAACGACGCCACCATTGTCCAGCGACGTAGCAGGAGCAGCATCATCATCATCAACATCGTCAACGGAAGATAAAAACATCGAGGCTGCAACATACGTGGAAGAACGGTACGGTCGCAATCTGCCTATTGAATTTGCAGATCATGCCAAGGTCGCACTCCGGCGACGCATTGCTGGTATTCTTGCAACCGAAAGCGCAAACATCCAAGATTATGAAAAGGCTACAGAAACCGAGCTGGAAAACCAACGTGCTTTGCAAGGCGATCGCGGTATCAAGGGCTTGTCAGAGAATGATGTCTACTTGTATCCTTGTGGTATGAGTGCCATTTTTCATGCACATCGTTGTGCCATGACTGCATTAGATGCATCACTTAAAAGCGTTTGCTTTGGGTATGTTGTTTCACTTGTTTTCTTAAAGAAAAATAACAAGAGAAAGAGAGAGGGATCGGGCTGATGACGGTTGATATTGGGGCTGTGGGGAGAGAGGGATAGAGGGAGGACCATGTGAGAGTGTGTGATATATGATGAAAAAGCCTGTCAACTAAAATTGATAATTGTGATTGTAGGTTTCCTTATACGGATACGCTCAAAATTCTTCAAAAATTTGGTGCAGGTTGCTATTTCTATGGTTTGGGCGAGGATAATGACATTGACGATATTGAAGCAAAGCTCAAATCGGGCGAACGGATCTTGAGCTTGTTCTGTGAGGTACCTTCCAATCCACTCCTCAAGACCCCAGATTTGAAGCGGCTGCGCAAGTTGGCCGACGAGTATAATTTTATGATTGTTGTCGATGAAACGCTCGGCAACTTTTCAAATGTGAACGTGCTTCAGCACGCTGACATGGTCGTCAGTAGTCTTACCAAAGTATTTTCAGGCGACAGTAACGTCATGGGTGGCAGGTAATTAGCCTTTTCCTTAAGTCGGCTCCCCCTACATATACACAGTAGACACGCACACACTACGCAATATCACATCCCCTGAATTAGTTTTAGTTTGAAAATTTAAAACGAGCAACGTACTTGTGATCTCTGTATATAGCATGGTTTTGAATCCGAACCGGAAGCACTATCAAGCGATCAAGGCTCATCAGGAAGCTGATTTCGAGGATTTGGTATGGTGCGAGGACGCGCTCTTTCTGGAGCGCAATTCGAGAAACTTTAAGTCTCGTTCTAAACTTATCAACGAAAATGCTGAAGCCTTGTGTGATTACTTAGCATCACATCCTAAAGGTAACTAAAAGAGTTAGCAATAGGCTCTCCGAAGCACATATGCATATGCAGAGCCAGAGATAAACACCTTCAAGCGGGTAAATTGTTCTAATGCCATGTTGTTACCTAGTGAACAAGGTGTTCTATCCCAAATTTGTGTGCAATAAACACTATGAAGCGGTGAAAAACCCAGCTGGTGGCTACGGTGGTCTGTTTTCACTGATGCTCAAGAGCGAAAAGGCAGCACAAGTATTTTACGACAATCTGCACTGCGCAAAGGGACCTTCTCTGGGTACCAACTTTACGCTTGTTAGCCCATACACGATCCTCGCTCATTACACGGAGCTTGACTGGGCCGAAAAGTTCGGTGTCTCGCGCTATCTGGTCCGGGTCAGTGTCGGCCTCGAGCAGAGGGACCGTCTCTTGAAAACATTTCAAAACGCGCTAGATGCGGTCGTTGATGAAGTGTAGTAGAATAATATGTCTCTTAAATATGCTTATTTCTCTTATCACACTTTTTAAATCTCATATCAACGTGGAATAGAAAGAGTCTCCATTTCCTTCTTGTCAAAACTCCCCCATCCAAAACTTCCTGTTGTCACACCGCGAAACCGTTAAAGTAGCCATCTCCTACGCCTATTATACACAGCTTGCTTATAAATATTTTTGACTTCATCGAAGTTCACCATCGTGCATCGCACCATCCCGCTATATACGTCCTATCTTGTCACAGGGCGCAGGCAGGGGCGCACATGTCAAATCGGCGCCGTTAATCTTTATTGATATGATATCATCTTGAAGCTACTCCGCTAGACAAAAAGGACACTATCAAAGCACATCTTCGTGCTGTCTTTGAAAAGTTTTTTGTTTTCACTTGCAGGTGAAACCTCATTATCGATCCAGATCGTATATAAAACATATATATAAAGGACCGGAGAATGCGAAAAACCCACAAAGACCAAACAATAGTATATTTTAGCTCCATTCTTCCCCCGCATTATCATTTGTACATATATTCATCCTTTCAACAATAGCGAACAATGGACACAATCTCAAAGGGCGTTGAAACTCTTATTACTCGCTGGCCGAGTGGAAAGAAGCGAAGCTCAAAACTTGACCTTACATCCACATCCATTTCCAACCACGAACGGAAAGCATCCACATCATCAGTATCATCAGTACTAAGTGCTATTTCCAGGACACTAAGCGTTCGATCCAGCATAAGCGAGCTGTCATTACAAGGTTTGTAGCTACACTTGTGTACATGTCCAACGTTACTTGATTTGCCTTATTTTACTAATTATGTACAATTTTTTTTTGTTTTGTCATAGACAAAGACAGTTTAGTAACACCAATCGATTCACCAAGAGCCACTTCACCTGCCATTGGCAGCAACAACAACAACCACCATCACCACCACCAACCATTATCACCACCACAACAGCAGCAAAAGATCATGACTCCACCACCATCCGTTCCCGCCTCACCAGTCACTAGCCCCGTCGCCACGCCTGCCAAAGCACAATCATTACCGCCGCCATCATCACCCCTGGACAGTTACATTATCCGCGAAACACTTGGCACTGGGCAGTTTGGTCGGGTTCATTTGGCCCAATCCCGGACAGACCGACAATACTATGCCATCAAAACCCTCGACAAACACGACGTTGTACGACTCCGCCAAACACAACATATCAACAATGAGCAGGCCATTCTCTGCAAGGTGAACCATCCATTTTTGGTCAACTTGGTAGAAAGTTTCCAAGACGATTCGCATTTGTTCTTTGTCATGGAATATGTCCAAGGCGGTGAACTCTTCCGCATCCTGCGCCAGGAAAAACAGTTTTCAGAAGAAATTACCAAATTTTATGCTGCCGAAGTCATCATTTGCTTTGGATTATTTGCATGAGCGCGACATTGCTTATCGCGACCTCAAGCCTGAAAACATCTTGCTCGACTCGGACGGTCATGTTAAGCTGGTCGATTTTGGCTTCGCAAAGAAAGTGCCAGACATAACGTGGACTGTATGTGGCACGCCTGACTATTTCGGTAAATATCATTTTCCCGACAATGTTTTTCTTGGATTATTATGATCTGATAAATTAACTTCAACGATTTTTAAAAAAATAGCACCCGAAATCATAAAGTCCAAAGGTTACAGTAAAGCCGTCGATTGGTGGGGCCTCGGTGTCCTCATTTACGAAATGCTCGTCGGCAAGTCTCCTTTTACAGACAAGAACCCTGTCGACATGTACCAAAATATTTTGGACTGCCGAGTGTCCTGGCCCGAGCACATATCCCCGGTTGCCAAAGATCTGCTGCTCGGCTTGTTGACGCCAGACATTACTCGTCGCTATGGCAACCTCAAGGACGGAAGCCGCGATATCAAGGAGCATCCATTTTTTGAAGGCATTGATTTCGATAAGATTGCACGGCGAGAAGTTTCGCCACCATTCCGACCCAATATCAAGGGCGAAGGCGATACGACATGTTTCGAAAACTACGAGGAACCGGATGTTCCATACGGCCTCCATATGGCCGACCCATATCAATCTCAGTTTCCTAATTTCACAAAGTAAAACCTCCTACAATCCCTCCACCTCTCATTAACCGCTCTCAATTGTACATATCTTCTACTTGTCCTCCCTCCGAAAAGTTTTATATTTCTTTATATACCACTTTGCATTCTTACAAAGAAAAAATAATACTTTTTTTTTATCCGAAACAAATATTTTAATTATTCATCAAGAAGTCTAGAAAGCAGTATTAGATCATCGACTGAATATTGTGTTGGAAATTGGATATGGATCCGGGTATGTCTGTTAAACTCAAAATGTAAAGCACCAGGCCGTTGCTGCTGTAAAACGGCGTATTTAGCTGCGATAAGTTGCTGTATAGCTGCTTGTGATATGCTCTCGGGTTGGCCAAAATAGCGTATATCCACCAAGTTCTTGTAATGTGTCCAACGGTCCAGCGTTGCATTTGTTACTCGCCACCATGGGATATCTTTAAAACTGAGCTTTTCGAGGTTTGGACATGCGTCCAGAAACGTAAACAATCCTGGTAAACTGAGTCCGGTAACAGAGCTGAGGTCGAGCTGCCTTAAACTAGACCATCCTCCGTTGCTGCTGCTGCTGTTTAATAATAATTGTGCCATGGTGTCGTCGGGTATAAAGCATGAACGAATGTCCAGCTTGGATAATGTATAGTGGTAGGCACTGTATGATACAATGGCAGCGAGATCTTGATCATTGACTTGCTCTAGCAACACCGATTCGAGGCCTATCTCGAGCATCACTGGCGGTGGCGGTATTACAAAATCATGCTGATCTGCGTGGTGTCCTGCGCAAAGGCCATACGCCAATACTCGTAATGATCGATTATATCGGTTGAGATGCTGTATAATCTCATAGGAAAGTAACGCGCCGCGACAATGAAATTGCTCGAGCTGTGGACAAGATTGGAGTAGACAGCCAAAGACAGCTGATGAGGCGCCCTCGATATGATTGAGCGTGAGACTTTTTAAGCGTGTGGTGCGGTGGTAGCGTTGATTGTAGTGATGGTAACGGTGGTGGCGATGGGCAGGTCCTGATGGTATGCTGCTGGTATAGTCGCCACTGTCATAGAGTACCGAGTCGGATAGATCGAGATATGTCAGGTTGGGGAAAAGATCAAAAAGGTGTACGACGTCGTCCATATTTATCTCGAGGCAGTAGAGCTGTAAATATGACATTGCTGTCATGGGACCAATGTTACGAAGAGCCCGTAACAATAGCAACCGCTCCTCTGGACCCGATGTGTTATTTAACTCTGTATTAGATATATGAACGACGGTCAGCTTTCATTTTCCTATTCTCATACAGCTTCTTAGCATAGCATAAATCATTGATATACCAAGTCCTTCCAAGTGCTTGCACCCGTTGGCCGCTATAAGTTGCAAAGCTTGAATACCCAGCACCTCGGACAGTTCAATGTCTAATTTCAACCATTGCAGATGGTCACCGGCCAAATGAATGAGGTTGGTCAATGCTTGAGCGTACCGTTCAGGAGCGCCCTGAAATCGTGAAGATAGCTGGACATGGCGCCACAGGTGAGGAAGGCTGATCAGGATCCGGTGCCATTCTTTACAGACACGGAGACAGCGTACGAGCTGCTCTAGGTCCAGTAGACCGAAAATTAACTGGACAATTTCGGGAGGCAGCGTATTCACTATGGCTGACATGGTTATTGTTAAAGAGTGAAGAAGACAAAAGGCAGAGACAGAGACAGGGACAGGGAAAAGAAAGAAGAGAGAATGATAAATGGGGTTGTCAAACAAAGAAGCAGCCTTTTTTCACACACGGACACACCCACCACTGCTCTTGCCAGCCTCAGTAATAACAACAAACTCTCTCACACTGACATCTGTAACCTTTTTTAAAGTAGAGCGAACAAGGGCCTTGGAATGTGTAACCTCAATGCTTTTTAAAATGATTGGTAGCTTTCCTACGGTTACGTTTATGGTAAATCCAACGTGCAATCCATCGTGATCCGATCCAAGGTGGCCGATTCTTCCCTCTTACTGCCTTTTGCTTCTTTGTCATGATGGGTGGGCCAGCCGAAGGGTAAAGAAACTCAAAGCGGTATGCTTAGCAATCATATTTGCTCGGTGTTATAACTTTGATTATTGATGATCTCTTTGAAATTAGGTTTTTTCGTCGTTCTTATTTTTTTTTTTGCTGTTTTCGTTCGCATATCAAATGAACCATTCTAGCATTTCTCATTGCTACTTTGTCACGGTAAATTTCGTGTAACTGACAAGAAAGCTGTTTTTGCTATGCACCTCCCTTTGATTTTGCTTATTATATGATCTGTTGCATAAGGATCACATTTGGTAGTACCGACAAAATATTACTTTGAAGTGATGAAAAAAAAAGAGCGGGCTCTTTCGTTTCGCCGCTACATGCGTGTGCTCAATTTTGCAAGAAAATAAAATGGATCATCCAGGCGATTCAATATGTGCGGGTTCTAGGTGCTCAATATACAAACAAGTTACACAACAGCGCACGGTTCGCAAGGAAATGACAAGAACAAAGACAATCATATGAAAGTGATTAGTACTTACTATTATTATTATCGATAATAATCATATGTTTACATCCGTACTCAATGTAATATTTACACCTTTATAATGACAATCGTCACCTTTCAACCAAAAACTGAATTAAAAGAGCGTATACAATTATGCGAATCGGAACGAATAGTTGTATGAAGTATTGTGAAAGAAATAATGATATTATATAGTAAACACATATACATGAACTAAAGAAATAGTAATGGAATAAGAGGGAGATCATTAAGTGGTGGTTTGTACTGTTGGTGGATTCATCACGCTGCGTTGACGTTTGGCGCGCTCGATAATCTTTTTATAAAGCACTTCATTGTAAGGATATATGCATCCGTCGCCGAGACCACCATAGATTGGTACTACAAATGTTTTCATTGTTGATGATTCCATCATGTCGTGAATTTTAGTAACACACATACACACTTACTATCGATCTTGCATCCAGAACAAAAAGAAAGACTTACAGAACCAGCCCCACGGATTTCTTCCCATCACACTACGCCAGTTTCGATCATGTCCAAGATCCCACAAGTTATCGTCGTGATGCGTCGTGACAATTTCAAAATTATGACCACTGGTATCAAAATCAATTCGAACTTCATTCGGCCGTTGAGAAATGTGTTCGATGGTCGTTTGGTTGTTGAGGATATAGTAGCCATGGACACCTGCAAAGCCCCACAGTGTCATTCCAAATACAAAAGCCCTGTAAAAGATGCCCGTATCAGCGTTGGTTAGTAGATGCTTCTGAGCAGCATCGATTACTAGTGATATATAGAATGATGGGCTATACTTTACAGCACAAGTAGTACGATCCATTGTGGGTCCAACGATGCGCCCTGAAGGTTCCATTATTTGCGGTTAATAAACCTGATTCACTTCCCTCCTTACATCAAGGAACAACAGCAATCTACCTCATCGTTCATGGCCTCCACTACGGTGGGTATAGTCGTACCAAGTACCCATAAGGCATAAAAGGCACAATACAGGACGAAAAGGAAGAAGAATTTGTAGTTTTTATGACCCACGCAGCCGCTGATCCTATTGACTCTCTTGTTAGCGAAATGCCATAAGCTCCTATCCGTTTTTGATCTTACCATGGACAATGACTAGAAGAATATTTATCCATAAAAGTCAGTACAATAACAACAATTGTTGGTAAAAACCACCCCAGATACAGATTATGAAACATGTAATCCTCACTGATCCATTTTCAATATGCACGCGTTGCACTCTTTACAATGATGTGTACGGTCAGGCTTGTAACACTGACATGAATCACAGTAACGTGGCAATCCGTCGTTTTTGCTGATAGATACTACGGGTAATAGGCTCGTGGTTTCGTTCGCTTCCTCCAGATCTTGGCGCCGTTGCATACTTTTCGGATCAAGTAGCCGAGGCGAATAATAGAAACGCGGGAATGACGTTGGTGCTGATAAAGATAGTGGTGAAGCCTATGTAGGATATAGCAGCGCGACGTATTACATAACGATATTCCTCATCATTTCCTCCCTTTCCCGTTTTTACGTCGATCCACCACACAGCAGCTTACATGAATCGCTTTTCCAGGATAAGAGACAAGAACACGCACGTATGTTATTAACGTTAGAACCACGAAGAACGTTCCTATCACCATAAACGCCACTACATACACCCCAATATAAAGAAGTAGTACACCCAATAAGTCAAACTGAACGATCATGAATTCGCTAATTACTGACCTGCTTCGGCTCTATTGACTTGTAGTAATTGTGCATCTATAATCAAGTCATGTACAAATAAATATACGCAGAAGGGGAGAAACGAACAAGTTGCAGGAAAAAACTGAATGAGCGCTTCCTTTTTATTCAATGAAAGTCTTTTCATAAACATACAGCATAGGCGAAAAATGTAAATGTACCAGCTGTATATTACAAGACCGAAGACTAGGATAGGTAACGCAATTCCTACAACGGCCTTTTCGAACTGTGAAGGCATATATGTACAAAGAGAAGGGAAGAAAAGAGAGAGCGAAAGTGAGACGGGTGAAACAGAAGAACAGAACGTTTGGGGCTGGTATAGTACCGTAAGTACGGCGGACTCAGCAGACACCAAGGCTGGATGTGCATCACAGTGACACTTGCACGCGCTCCCTTTTGTATAATTGAAATGGGCTACATAATGCATGTTAGCTAGTATCTTGAAGGCAGGACATCAGCAACATGCGTTTATTATCTTCTTTGATGTAGTTATTTGTCAATGTTACCGCCTCTAGTAATGCTATAAGTACACACCATATCACTGAAAATAGCCAGTATGTAGCAAGGATAGAAAGTATCTAAGCTGATGACCACCACTTTCTAAAGTACAATTGTATGCCAAATATAAAGATGAAAAGATGAGTAAGTGGTCACAATCATTCATCAAATACAGTACCGAGCGACAACAAGAAAGGGCCACGAGAAGGAGGGTCAGTGTTAAAACAGCTTACAACGACAGCAACAGCAGGCATATACAACACTACTACTAACTTGATATATTGATTGTATTGCCAGAAAAAGTGGAATATTCTTCTCGAGCCTAAAATGAAGATCTCTGCCCTCTTCATTATAAGATATACTGGTGTGAAGAGAGAGAGAGAGAGAGAGAGAGAGAGAGAGAGAGAGAGAGAGAGAGAGAGAGAGAGAGAGAGAGAGAGCGCGAAGAGGAAATTCCCCATCACTCTCTGTCATTTTTGCCTTGTAACTCAAAGGAGCTCTTATTAGCATCCATAAGAGTATTATAGGCCCCTGCACGGCTTAGGATGAATAAGCCCTGTCAATGGACACTCTCAGCTGGACAACAGGGCAAAGAGACGTACAAGAGGACGGTTAACTGCAGAAGTAGTATTCTGGACACAAAAGATTTAAGGTTCGAATTGTTAATGTAACACACATACCACACGCTTCTTTGCTGCGCACTTTGTGTTGCGACAGTATGCTCCTCGTCCAAGTATCCATCTGAAGCCTGTTCCATCTTTTCACTATTAGATCTAAAAGAACCACTTAAAAATTGACTAGTCTACAATATAAGCAAGAGTTGTTCCGATGAAGGGTCTCGCCCTGTCGCTTCTGGGCAAAATTTTTGTTGTGGTTAGACGCAATCATTGGCTCTGTTTCCCCTTGCCAAGGCAAAGGCGCCGAAAAGCTGAATGGTTGCCATAGCAACGCCCAAGTATACATAATAGCGCGCTGGACCTGAATTAGCGTCTTGATTGCTGCTTCATACTTCTCGCTCTCTTTTCGTCTTTTATTTTTTCTCTTTAATAACCCTCTTTGTTTCTCTTGCACCTTAAACAGTGCCACTCCATCACTTTCTTTTCTTTTTTCTTGCATTTGAATACAATACAATAGGAAGAACAAAATATACAGGAAGAGAAAAACCAGTCGATTGTTATTTATACATTCCTCTCTCCCTCTTTTTTTTTTTGGCTATCGCTTTCCCTTTAACAACGAAACAACAACCACGCCCGTATGAGGCATCTTACAAAAGGCACCAGCAAGACTATCGACATTCGTCTCAATGAGGAGAAATTTTACTTTCCTGGCGAAACAATCAAAGGTAAATTCATTTTTATCGCCTTGGATATCTGTTTATAGAAACTGCTGTTTTATTGTTGCTATGGAAGCGAAGATAGCATTTAGCACTGTCTCTCTGTTTCTCTAAATTGTATACTATTGTTACTACATTGCCATAGGTGTGGTCACTGTCCACCCGAAGAGCCCAACGAAAACGAACCACATTACGCTAAGGTTTACGGGTGAAGTGTATTTGTCGATGAAGGACAAGGAAACGATTACGTTGTTCCAAAAGACTGAAACCATTGCAGTGTCTAACGATGGCAGCAACAAGGCACACATTTTGGATGCTAAGAAACACAACTTTGACTTTGAATTCGTTGTTCCAGATGATTTACCGAGTGCCATGGAGGTTCGTGCAAGGAATGGAGGGATGAGGGAGAAAGAAAAGGCTTCTGTCAAGGGTATGCAATCATTGGAACTTAACATGTTTCTATTAGTTTGGTAAGCGAAAGGCACGTATTCGATATATGTTGACGGCAATCCATGATCGACCGATGGTTCCGGAATCGTTGTGCTCCAAAGCGGAATACACGGTACCCATCCTGGAGTTTGTGGATGTCCAGTCGCCACAGTACAACAAGACTCAGGAACAGAGCTTGGATTTTGTAATACCACAGTTGGTATCCAAGCGGCATCAACAATGCCAGCTCAGGGTCTCCATGCCACGCTTTGGCTTCACAAGAGGTATGTACTTTCCGTTTTAGGTAACCGTTCGCATGTCATTGTTTTCTTCCTGTGCTCATATTTTTTACATATCGGAAATCAGGCGATTTGGTCAAGCTCAGCATTGTTTTCAGTCATTACGAATCTTTTACCCGTAAAAACGCCGTCAGAGTCGATCTTGTTCGTACAGTGGATATCCGCACCGCCAGGTAAAAGGAGGATGCCGTGTAGAAGTAACGCTACGCATTATTACTTTTTTTTGCTGACATGTGTCTTGACAGGAACACGCTGGGCAAACAGGATATCTTGAAATCAGTCGAACATGACATCAACATCATCGGACCATACAACTTTTCCCAAGCGATCAATTCGCAGATCCTTATTCCTACATCCACGCCTCCGTCCATTCGATACAAGGATAAAGTCATCGATATACACTACAAGATACGCATTCGTCTCTTTCTCGAAAAGAAAAAGGCAGTAGAATCGCAGTGTCTGGAAATGCCCATTGTCATTGGCACCTGGCCAAAAGCGGACGTTCCCATCGACGACGAGGACGACGATGACTATTTAGACGACGATCGCTTAGTGAGCGACGAGGAGGAGGATTACGATGATCATAATATCAGGGGTGATTCTGACTTCTCATTACCACCACCACCACCACAACCGACACAATCCAAATCGTCTACAACGACATACCAACAACAACATCGACGCAATATGTCAAGTTCGATGCTTTCTGTTGGATCTGCGTCCACAGTGACGCTCACGCTTCGTAACACCCATATTAGTGAACCCGGCGTTGTCCGTTCAGATTCAAATGCTTCTCATTCATCCCGACGTTCACAAGGGTCGGTAAAGTCCTGGCGCTCGAGCCAGTCTTACGAGCAACGGTCTCCTACCTTGTCACGAAATACGTCGGCTAGTACGAACCTCACTACACCCGATCCATATTACTCCTCCGGGGGCCGCAATATGATTGTTACCGCTGGCAGTCAGACGTACCTCAACAGATCTTCCTCCACACCTGACCTTCTCAACAATCCACCCCTTCCTCCTCCAGCTGCTACACCAAGCGGCGGAAGCATGTATACAATGCGTCCTACTGCAACGATGACTACTCCTACCACTACTACTGCTAGTAATAGCAGCATGAACCGTACCTCCTATTATGATGCTACTGGTAATTATGACTACGCCCAGCAGCAACAGTATCCTCGTACACCAACTTATCAACAACAATACCAATCTCGACTACCGTCTAATGATTATTCCACCACCGCTACCACTACCACCAGTAATGTCCCTACGCACGTCCTCCAGCCTCTCGCTGGCACTTCATCCAATCTAGGATACAACAACACAAACAACATTCGTCCGTCTATCAACAGCACACCGTCATCCAAGCCTCGAATGGCTCACCGGAATTACGACTATTCATACTACGATGATCTCACTGATGATAGTGACTTGGAGCATAGCAATAGTCAACAGCTTCCACTCTCCAGTGACTCGGACGACTCGGAAGATGAAGGTGATCTGCTACGCATCATAGAAAAGAAAAAGAAGCAGGCTGAACGAGCGAGACGTGCGCGTGGCCATTATTAAAATCACACATTCTCGATTTTTCTCTTCTACATACTTCTTTTTCCCTTATCCCATATATACTACTTCCATTATCTTGTTCCTTCCTTTCCGTACCTACCATTCACTTTCGTCATTTGACTTGTATAAAGCTACAAAACAAAAGAGAATCAAAATCTCACCCTCTTCCCCCCTTCTAATGTGTACTATGTAGTAGTTCTCTTTTTTTTTTACGTTTCCTAGTAATAATAGTGTAATTATTTACAACAAAATTATTATTACTTTTTTAAATTATGTACATTTTGGTGTTCATTCTGATCATGATCATCGTCATCGTCATCTTCTTCATCATCCGCTGGAAGAACAATGCCAAATTGTCCTAGTATGTTACCCGCAGGACCAGGAAGACCCTGTTGACTCTTGTAACTCTCCAGGATGTTCTTTACTAGATTAAGAGATACGTCGACAGGCGCATCTACATCGTCGGTTTGCTTGGCAAACGATCCCAACTTCTCTTGTGCGTTGATCTCTTCGTCCATTTGCTTGATAACATCCTCTTCCTCTTCCTCATCTAATCGATCCTTTTCTTCTTTTTGTAGCGGTTGTTCTTGCTCTTTTTGCTCAACAGGAACTCCGGGTGCCGGACCCAGCACGTTCGTTAAAATGTTCATGAAACGCTCAGCGTCGAATGATAACGAGGCATCCACATCTTCTTCTCCTTCATAGTCGCTGTCATCCTCATCCTCTTCTTCTTCGCTAAATGATATGAGTGATCAGGTTAGAATGGATAAAGAATAAAAAGCAACTCAAAACTGGTCCTTACCCTGGAAAATCTACACCGTCTAGTCCACTTTTGCTACCTTCGATGAAATTTGCAAACTGAGACATCATCTTGTCTAAATCCACGCCGCCTTCAGGCATAGGGTCGTCGTCCTCATCGTTTATTTCACGCTCGAAATCCGCCATCATGCCATTTTGCATTTGACCCATTCTTTGGTTCAACAACTCCTCCAATTGCTGTGGATCCACATTCATCCAATCATCGTTGTCTTCAATATCTGGATTGGCCTTTAGCAATTTATCGAGCGCTTCTTCCGAATAAGTGGATAAAAGATTATCGATCGTTTTGTGCGGGTTAGGTAGCACCTGGCTACCCGCAAACGTCTCAGGGTCGTCCACATCTCGTCGCATTTCTCGATACTGTTGCTGGGCTTGTTGTTCTAACTCTCGATAGAGCTTGGATCCAGATCGTTCCTGTCGGAAATAACCGAGTCGCGTCAAGCGAGACAAAAACTGCTTGTATTTGGGATCTTCGGCAATTGATTTGGTTTTCTGTGCTTCCTCGTCGACATTCGCGTCAATACTGCTGCTTTGATAATAGAGCATTTCCAGGCCACAAGCAACCTTCATACCGAGTTCAGCCATGAAAAACGAGCGCTTATTGCTAGGTTTCGGCAAGTGAAATGGTTTGGGTGGATAAAACTTTTGGCTGACAGTTTGGGCATAGGTGGTCTTTGTAAACTTAACGGTCGTAGTGACGGAATCGTTCGGCGGAAATCGACGCATTGTGCTGCATGCTTTGAGACCGACTGGATCACGAAGATAGAACGCCTCAACGGCGAGTGGAAGAAGTTGTGGGTGTTGGAGAAGCACATAGGCAGCATGTGCAGGTAATGTACATCGCGCGAGGTGTCGTTCGTCGTGGGTGGCCTTGCGTGCGTCAATCACTTCCTGGATTGCTGCATCGGCACGCGTTTCTATACGAGGATTGCGAATGATCTCGACGGCGCGTGCTTGTGTTAATGCAACGGGTACCTGTATCAAGTCGGCGGGAGTGCGCGGCATGGGTATAATATGTACGTCGCCTTTGTACAAGGCTACACGATTCTGGCTGTTGCTTGGATCGAGCCATGCAGGAAGCGCCATGGCTGCCTCGATCAATAACACATCGCCGTCATTGTCGTAGAGTGTTGCTACCGTATTCGCTATTTTCTCGGTAATCAGTCGAAGAAGGTATACGATAAACCACTCGTCGTGAATACAGTCGCCGAAATGTGTAATGCCGTGTAGGTATGGATAGCCAGGATCTGCTCAAGATTGGTAAACTGATTAGTTATCACTTGTGTATTTGTGCCACATTTATTCGTTTATAAGGCCCTTCCTTACCTTTGGAATCATCGTGAACGATCGCTAAGTAGAACTGATCTTTTTGCCACAAGTAGTCATTGATATGAGGTTGGACTAGCGATCGGATCATTGCCAGGGAATCCTGCACTCGGTCCAACATGGAGTCGGGATCCGAGAGTACAGGAAAAAAGATCGAGTACTGGATGGCATTTTCCTCTATAGTAGCAGCACCCTCGAAAACATCTTGGAGTGAATCCATAACCGCTCTAGTCCCAAAAGCTGTGGAAATGTGAGGTTGCACTCCTGCTACGTCAAAAAGTTATCGGCACTTCAAATCTGAACACCAGTAGGCTGGGGGTCTTTTATTCATCAAGAAAAATTAGAAATAAGAAGCGGAGAATAAATGCAACAGAAAGAAGGAAAGAAGTGTATTAAAGCGTATGCATGAAAAGAAACAAAAGTTAGACAGCTGTTACAAAAGTAAAGAAACGAGTATGGAATAAGATACTTACCTCCCCCCAATTTGTATCTCGTTGGAGTGGCCCTCCACTCACTCCATGACAGGCGCCAAGGCCTGCTCTTCTTCGTCTTCCTCCTCCTCTTCAAACTCGTCGTCGTGGGCATCGTCTAATACATTTTCTCCAGCGGGACGACGCATCGACGGTGGTCGCGATCTCAAATTACCAGTTTGGACGTATTGCATGAAGATACGACCAATGTTTCGGGCAGCATTATTATCACGGTCCCACAACTATATGTATAGATAATGTGAGCTTATGCGCAAGTCGCATGATGCATTATCAAGGCACTGATGTAATAAAACAATCAAATACTAGCTACTTACAGTAGGTACAGGACAATGATCGCAGAACTTCAATGGATACACGGATAATTGGGAACCAGCTGGAAATAAGTTTTGGTATATTATTACAACCATTAATATTAGCTATTGAAGCTCTCTCACTGTTTTACAAACTTCTTGTATACACGATAGAAAGTAACAAAGCCTATATTACGTACCAGCGTTTTGACGGTCGTTGCAAGTCGATGTTGGCCAAAGGTTATGGCCGTCGTCATCCACACACCAGAGCTGCCGTCGGGCATTGTTCCTGTGTCCATCGTCTTCAGCACGTTCGCGGATCCGACGAATTCTCCGCTTTGTGTGCTCGCGACACACTTGAACACTTCCTGGACGGTCTCGAAATTGACGCGTGTTCGCATCGCAAGCACTGCACACAACACTGGTTCGATACTCATCGATGAGCATGACCATTACACGTCTTGCTAGAACCGCCCGGAACGTCTACAAAGTTATTTATAATAGAGGCGTCAATTCATAGCAAGGACACTCGCTTCATTCGTCACTAATTAACGTTCCACCACGTCTGCCAGATAAATTTTCTTATTTACCTCAACAGGAATAGGTTCAAATCCTTTGAAGGAGGGCTTAAACCTTCCATCACCATATGCTACAATACAATTGTCTTCCACTCTGAATCCTGCATGTGCGCGGCGCGGTCGGCGAAACCGGCGGCGGTGAGCTTTGCGTTCGCGTTTGGAGGCCTTATTGAAGAAAGGGAGAGGTACCTTGAAGCAACCATATTAGTTTTTGCGACTTATCAAAGAAGTACTCATACACAGAAAGATACTTACATCTTCACGGTGATCCAACCCTATCAATCTGTTGGCAAGATTCTCCAATGCGCTTTTGCGCGCAGAAAAAAGAGTGAGTAGCGTTTCCCGGTGAAAGAAATGTTTGTTAAATTGTTCATGGATGCTATTTTTTTTTCAAAAAAAAAAAAAACTAGAGTGAATACTCATGCCAAAATGATGATCACGGTGTTCCAGTATATATCGACATAGCTGAGTAACTTACTGTCTGTGCACGCCACTCAACATTCTGATGTAATTTCGGAAACCTTCCGAAGTAGGCGCTGAAGCCGGATGTCCTCTCAACATATCATACACCTCCTGTATCTCCGGGATATCTTGATCCGGATGAGCCTGTCGCTCGACATGAGCATAGCGTGCTCGATTTTTGTTTTCCTTTTGGAGCGCCCACTTGAACATGGACTGGAACCTGAAAAAGGGTTATGTACAAAATCAAACATGTTGGCATCAGATGTAAAAAGCGCGGACACACGCTCATACTTGCTAAAAGTAAATATACTGCACGCAGTACTCACTGGTATGTTCTGTTATTTAGCTGATATACGTGCTCTGCTCTCGCTTCAGGTGTTTCGAGCGGCTCAAGAGTGTCTACAGCAGTGACCAGAGACCGGATGCCTAAAGTAATATACAAAATATCTACTTAGATAACGTTACATATTTTGAGAATGATTAGATATATACCTGGGTCTATGAACACTGTTCGAAAATTATGAAGCCGCTCTGCATCAAGACCATCTGGCTCTTTGGAAAGATGATACATTCCTCTTCTCCACTGTGTGACGTCAATTTCACGAGGAAAGCGTTTAACTTGTTTGGAGCTAGAAGGCATATACTCTAATAATAGATTTATGAGATCTCGTCATGACCAAATACATACTTTTAATATTGCATGCTATGAGGGTACTACCAACCTCCACGCCGCGTTGTCACAGGCCTGCGAAAATGGAACACAATGGCGACACCATCAGTTTCGAATGTGTTATTGAAGAGTTTGAGCTCGCGGTCTTCTGGGGGCACAACACCTTGACCTGGGCACATCATATTTATAAATGTATATGAGATAGATGAGTTTAGATATAACTATCAAAAGATACCACTTTGTGACTATTCAAAATGTATACGGAATCTACCTTCGACTGCGTATCGGCAACGTCGCGGCTCTACGTGACCGATATTAAATAGCGACTCCCAGAAGCCTTCAAGCAGCTCAGGATCTTGCTGTCTGAAAACACGATATGACAAGCAACGTCCACGACCAGGAACGTTATTTGGTCTCTAGATTTATGCATCGATGGAAACAAGCCAGTAAATAAACAAATAACATCTTTTAATAACTGGAAACACAAAGAGAGTAAAAACGCATATCATTACCACAATATTATCCGGCACTTGTGCAGGATCTCGCTCGTCCACTTCGCGTACGATGTAATACATAGTTTCAAGGTCGACCGGCATGAATCCAATGCGGTGACTGGCAAGTGGTAGTGGAGTCCACTTGGGACAGAATTGGAAAGGCTGGGCTTCAAGTGACAGCCAGATATAAAAGGATAGCGAATTCACTAGCATTGCAGGGCCAGATATGGACGGTCGCTGTACTATGCGTGCGATATTCACGCCGGCATATGCTTGTTCGAATCGTGCAGTGTGTTGGCTAAAAAAGTTGAAAATAGTAACACCGTCTTAGTTATAACTGTGTGTTTATCTATGTGTTGTATCTATATAATCATCATAACAAATTAAAAAGAAATTATGTGTAATTTCTTACTTGAAATATTGAAGCACCTCAGTAAAATTGCTGCTGGAATTCGTTCAATTAAACGCTGAGTCAAATGAGTTCTGTGCGTTGTGATCAAATTACAGATTTCTTTTGCTATAAGCAGATCACCATAAAAAATAGCGGTGAGATATTTTTCAACACTCCAGTATTACCAATGTAAGTAGAAAAGAAAATCATTCTTTTGTTTACCCATGCTAGAGATGCTGATTCGAAAGGTAAGGTTATGTTCATGGCGCAGATGACTCAGATATGCGACCCATACACGCTTGAGAAAAACAGGAATGTTGGCGCATAGGTGGTTCATGGCATCTACAAATATTATATCCTCAGTTAATAACTATTTCTATGGTTTAACAGATATATATAGAGCATGTAAAGAATTGCGTGTACACTACACTTACTGGTTTTAGCCTTTACTGCAAACAGCTCTGCTAATCGAGCCAACAAGGACATTGATAAGTCTTGACGAAGAACAGGAAGATCGTATAACGCTGTTAAGAAAGTCAGTATCAAACATCTATCATTGTTTTACATTTACCCAGTTTCAAAGCGTCATATCGGTATATCTAATACCTTCTCCTGTTTCCGCATTCCGGCGTTGTGGCTGATAATGGTTATTGAAGATATCGCGTAGAACGGCGTAGCGGTTTGGAGTCTATTGAAGTCAATAATGTAAAAAGCTTGTCAGTGCTGCATGTTCCGCGACATACAGTACATATTATGCACAATTCATCCCAAGCAACAACAGAAATTATTCTCACGCGAGCCGGGACAGGTGCCTCTTGCGTTGGATTGGTGATCACCATCCGAAATGCCGTAGCCCAATACGTTTGATTGTCTAATTCTGGCATGGGTATCTCACCGTTGCTTTCGTATGCAAGCAGAGCATGCAGATTAATCAAGTTCAAGGCGTCTCTGCGAAGTACTTGGTACCACTCAGCTAACGAACGAAGGTAAGCCTAGCGGTAATATAAGATTGTTTTAGCTTTTCTGTCCAGATAATTATGAATGATCTTGGTGTCGGCTTTATAAATGGTGTACGAACCCTGTACAGCTCACGATTTTCACTTAATGCTACCCTCAACTTGCATTTGCGACTGGCTAATCGCCATGTATTTGCACGGCCGTAAAACGTGTCGCGAATGAAGTCTGGCTCCGGTTCTATGTAGGAAATAATATAAAGGTACAACCATAGTGAGTCTACTATATACATGCTCATAAAAATCATATACAGAAGACAAGTGGAAAGACAATATTAACAGTACCTGCTGCTCCTTCTTGCTCCATGTACGCTATTTCGTCATAGGAGTACTCATTCTCGGCAAATGATGTAATGTCCGAGCTAGTGTCGTTGTCCAGGTCGTCATAGTAGTCATTAACGTTGTCAAAACCAATATTTTCGTCGTCCACATCCATCATAGCCGCACCGTCGCTCGCTTCCGAAAAAGCATCAGTGGTTGGGTCATTATCGACGAGCATATTGTCGGTATCAAATGAGTCGGTTGATGCCATAGTCATATCAGTGTCGCTGTCGTCCACGACACTGATAGACACCATTTTTAGTATTGAGTAAAAAGGTGCAAGGTTTTATGTATATAAAACAATAGTGATAAGATAGAAAGAGAGTTATTGGAGAGAAAGTTGTAAGAAGGAGAAAGGGAAGACCTTGTTTGAGAGAAGGAGTGCTGTGATGAACGTGGGTTGTGAATAGATAATAAGAGAAAAGAGATTGAATAAAAGACAATATGAAATACTGTGAGAGTCAAATATGAGATGATTTTTTTTGAATGAATTACAACCCTTTATATACTCTTGGATATGCTGTCAAGACTTCCGTTTGGATGAACTGATGAATGGATCGCGGACATGCTAGGTTTCGGATGTTTCAAAGATGAAGAAGGATGGTAAGGTTGAGTTTGGCGGTCATGACAATGAACGCTGCCTTCCGATTGTAAAGAGTCATCTTTGTCTTGATCAGTGTGCTCCTTGTTTGGCGAATTTCACCTTTGTCTGTGCTGGAATTGGTATCTGCTCTTTGACATTGAACGTGTGACCAACCAATAAAATTTCAGCCTCCACCTGGCTCATTCAAAAAAAAAGCTCTTTGACAGGTACACTTCGCTCAACTCATATAAGCTAGATTCAAAGGAAGTGCTGACTAACTCGAGAATAGGACAATGTGTATACAATGGTTGGTTCTGAGTTATTCTCGATTGTGATCCATGTTTGAGAGATTATTGATATGGCGCTAATTATGTCATTCGTGTGTGTGGTGTTCTCTCTACTGCTTTCTAATGGTTACAAAGACGGCGGAGTGGGATGAGTTGTCCGGATCAATCTCAAAGTAGTGTGGTTTACCACAAGTGCACTATGACTTTGAAAAGGCACCTTTTATAAAAGAAAATTCTTGTAAATAATTGATGCTAATACTCATAGGTGACTATTAACAAGAAGATATATCTTTTATGCAAATGATTAACCCATGTGTATATCACCTTTTGAGCATGTGAAAGAAAGATAGTCGTGCTAGGATTAAACCAGCGCCTCTTGGGTCCAATGCTTGTTGCGCCGATCACCTACGATGGGACCCCATCGAATAGGATGCAACTAAAAAAAGATATTAAGTTATCCAGCTTTTTATTTATTAATCACCTTCTATTATATAGTCAGTGTAAGATTGGACGATGATTACTTACATCCATTTTAAGCTGTATTTGCTCTGCTCTTTTAATTTCCCCTTCCACAACTCCTCTGGCATAAACGATTTCTCTATGGTTTATCTGGTGACGATAAACCTCCTCACATTCTTCTGGCGGATGATCCACCCGCGAAGTTATTTCGTTCCATGATAAAGGGGGTTTGGATGCGCGCAGCTTTGCAAGGTAATATCGCTGAGTTGGAGTCCAATGAGAAGGTAACGGTGGCTAGAAATATGCAACATATTATGATAAATTTATAATACACGATACCGCAATAGCTCTTTCTGTTTTTCAAATATCATACTCACCTTGTATTGACGATATCGTGCCTTGCAGGCTGAAGGTGTGTGGCGGTTGCCAATTATTCGCGCAATATATTCCCAAGACGCATGCGGATATTGCTGCTTTTGTTGTATCAAAATCGCGATATCTTGAGCTTCCCATAACGGCATGGTTGATAATGTTTAAATTGACGACGAAGGATCAAGAGGTTAAAGCTATTGTATCAGCATAGACACAAAAACTTAATATATCTGTTTATCTTTTTTGAAGACTCTGATATACTACCTGTCTAATTCTTGTTTCTCAATACGCTTCTTTCCCTGTTTAGTGCTTCTTAGTTGATGTGTATTACTATTGCTAATGATGACACATGATCCATGCACACTTATGGCTTTGCCTTTGTTGATAATTTAGATAGCGGCGCTATCATTGATCAGTTCACAAATCCCATGTCCCATATTGCAAGTCCAACAGCTTTATCCGAACAAATATATACCAAGTCCAACCAAGAGTATTAGAAAACAAAATATATGTAATAAGTATCTCTGCTAAATATTTATTTTATTCTTCATTGTTGACGAGAGGGACATGCATTTGGATTGATGATTTTTTCTACGACTGTGTATAGCCTTTTCTGTAGAACAATCAATTCTCTAGTTGTGTTGTAGATATGTTTGATTTGTTTCTTGCAAATAGATTATCAAGTTGATTTGTCGAGCGTTCATATTCAGCGAGCAGATCGTTTCTATGTTGCCGCTGCTGGTGCTGTGAGGATGGTGCTAGTTGCATAGATGCTGTTAATGTTGTTGACTAAAGATGATGCTGGTAATGACGATGATGCTGTTGTTGATTGGCGAGGGAAACTTTGGTTTATGATTACTAGAATGGTGGTGTTATATGCGCTAAGATATATATGCTTGCATGGTTGGTTACGCTTTTAAAATCTTCACAACTACAAGAACCAATAACGCCATTGCTATCAGTTTCTTCAAGCTTTAAAGTATACAATGCAGAACTAGCAAAAGATTGATAGGTAACCTATTGCCACAGTACGATCAGCAATTGTAAAAGTAAACGCACACATACAGAAGTGGTACATACATGATCATCATGGATAGTTATCATCCGGTCAGCTTCATCTGGTGATTTTTTGCAGGCTTCTCTTTCGTTTGTTAAGCTTCTCTAGTCGCTGTTGTTTCTTCGACACCAGCCAAAATACGTAGGACTTGAGCACGGTAATCATTTTCAAAAACTGCGTCAACATATAGATTACACGATCAGCACGATGATTGCGACTGTATGGAAGATATTTGCGTTTAAGTTTGGAATGCCAGCTTTCGATCAGATTATTTGTATGGAAGGACGCATTCTAAAGAATATACAACCGTGCATTATGTTGAAGCGCAAAATAAAGCTAAAACGAGCCTAAAACGTACCTCTCTCCAAGCCTTGCTCCAAAGATGATGCTTAGGATGCCCAATAGTCCAACACATAGCCATAAAATTTAAAATGCTCATATGTATCTCGCCATTTTTTACCAAATTAATCTCATGCATGCACAAATTCAACGACAGTTTTGCAATTCATCAAAGCACCAAGGGCAGAACGAGCTTCATCTCTTTTTTTCTTCATATCGGCTGTTGACAGAGTAGTTTTGATCTATAACCCAACATATAGAAAAAAGAAGGTTATATTGAATATACGATAATGTGGCTAACTAAATGGTACCTTGGACGTGATGTGCTTTTCCCATGCTCTTTTGATGTGCCAATGACACAGAAGAACTTGAACTTGATGACCATAAACTGCTCTGATGCTGTTAATTTCAACTGGACTGCAATCGATCATGATCCTTGTTGGTGTGTATTCAATTCTGTCTCGGAGCCATCGAAACCATACTTGCAAATTTTCACTATCTTCTTTATCTGTGATCATAAACGCAAGAGGGTAACCTTGTCCAGTAACTGTATGCTTGGCAACGATAGAAAACAGATACGCATCAGCCCGACCACTGATGATAGATTTGCAAGTCTTGTGTGTGGCATCAATACAGATCTCATTTGATTTCTTGAGCAGCTATAAAGCACATATGCATCTTAATATACGAACATTGCATTATATTTAAGTATATATCTTTTCTTACCAAAGCTTGTCGTGATGATATCCATGCAACAACAAAAGTAGAATCCGTGATATATTCCAACGTTTGATAACCTTGATCTTTTAAAAAGAGAAGCCACTTGACTACACTTTCTTTATCGATTAAATCTTTTCTTGCTAATCTTGACTGTTGGTTGGCGATGATATTCATGACATGATGCTGCTTCACACGTAAGGCTTCCGGGAACGGTCCTTCGCCTTCCTCGAGCTGATACCACAGGTTAGCATCTCTACAAGTTATCATCATAGTTTTGCTTTACATGTATAGATGATACTTACATCTTGAAGTTGTTTATCAGTCAAACGCAGATGTTCCTGAATTTGATCCCACTCCAACTTGTTATTGACAAGTTCTTCGATCCATTTACGTGTTTCAGCGGGGAGTTGTGAGCGAGTAGCATTGGTTATCTCGGTAGGGTCATGGTGTTGATGTTGCCAGTGATATACAAGTTTGATTTTGCCTGAGAATAAGTATTGAATACGGTATCGAGCACGACAATTTACTTTAATAGATGGTTTTGCAAGTCGACGTTTTTTGATGGGAGCAGGTTCAGTTGAGTCTATGGGCAGAGCAGGGATAGCTGGAGCCGATGTTTCTCTTGAGTGATCACAAAAAAAAGTGATACTACGTTCAACTGTCCGAGGACGGCCGGTATTGTTTCGGCGTGCATCTGAAGCCTTGGGTACAGAGATGTACTTGTTGTTGGTGATGAAGTTGGCAGGCTGCTTGGGGTTTTCTTTAACCCACTCGTCAAGTTGTTGCTGGTTGTCAAAAGTCTCTGTAACTACTTCGGTCGGGTAGGTGGGAAAGACACGGACAAGGTATCCAAGGCTATCAGATGCAGAGGCCATTGTTGTAGGTGAGCAATTGACAAAACAACAAAGGTACAGTTGCGACGCGTCGCTGTGGGAACATGAAAAAGTTTTACTCTGTGATTGAAAACTTCTCTGACGTAATTTTTCTTGATGAATAAACGA